CGTTCTTTGCATTGCATTCTTCGGAAATGTTAACACAACATCTGTAACATTATGAAGAGCGTATGAGAAATCTGAGCTAATACCTTCAGGAGTGATGCAACCTCCATTTAGTGAACGAACGTCAATATGTTGAGCTGGAATCATGAATGGATCTTCCTTACTGAATAAACGTGGTATTGCTTTAACTGATTCTTCAATTAAACCGTATCCTGGTGTAATGCATTTATCCTCTAAAACTTCCATCTTTGTGCATGAAATAATAACGTCATCAACTGTTGCGTCAGCAGATGTAGCGGCTAAGCTTGTAATTAATTTGGTAGGAAGTCCGATTTGTTGGAATTTGCGATCATATTTATAAACATGATTCATAATCTTTTCATAATTTTCATCAGTTATCTTTTCATAAACGTAATTTTGTAAATCAGCAACTCTTAACGGGTCAACCTGACAAAATACTAAAGTATCCCTGAAAACATAATATTTAAGAATGATATCACCAAATGATTTAGGATAATCATCGAACGCCTGAAATGCTAACAAATCATTTACCGGAATAATCATATCAAAAGTGATATCAACTTCTTCATTTGCTTTCTTGAAAACTTCTGAAGGGTCAATATATTTACCACATACTGAGTTATCATATTTTTGAACATTATTATATAACGAATGAACAAACTTTTTAACTTTCCTTTCTGATTTTGGTTTATATGTTGCAAATGCGAAAGATTCACGGGCGCAATCCATCTGAAGATAACCGGCATCACCTCTTTCGGTTTCTACTTCTAATTGTTTAAAGCTTTGATTTGATGATTTGTAACCAACGGATAAACGCATGCATTTAAAAGCGGCATCACATGTGAAAGCTTTATTTGAAACTAGAGTTGCTTTAACTTTGCGTTTAATATATGTGTCACCTAATTGGTTCACATCATGAGCCGGATTTGTAATTCTTAAATGAGTTTGTTTATCATCAAAATATGGAGCATCAGAGTCATAGCATGAACTTTCAAGTTCTCTATAATATCTTCTACCGTCATTCTTTGCGAATATTTCATTTATCTTTTCGAATGAATGAAACACATTTCCATTAATCGGTTTAGTGTTTGGCACTAAATAGTTAGTCGTCATTTATTATTAAATAAAAAATCAAAATTAAAAGATGAAAATGAATTTTTAATTTTAATGAAATAATCAACTATGGCTGCAGGTATATTTAAGAAACTGTGGGATAAAGTAAAAAGAGGAGCGCATAAAGTTTGGGAAACAATGAAGAAAGGAGCAAATTGGATATTTAAGAATAAAGAAGCAATTAGTGACGTTGCTGAATCAATAACACCAAAAGCCGCCCCAATAAGAGAAATATTAAATAAAGGAGAAAAAGTTTATCAAAGACTTCAACCGATACTAAGATAAAAATAATATTTATTTTTCCACTATCTACCTCCTATTTTATTAAGTATTCCTTCAGCAATTCCACCAACTGCGTTACCTGCTTGTGCTCCCATCGCCGGATTACCTGCTTTAGTACCTAATACTCCACCTATGATAGTTCCTGCCGTTTTCGCTACTGGTGCCAAAAAGTTTGCAACGGGTTTAATAATCTTTTTATAAACCCAACCCGCAGCTTTCATAATTCCATCCCATAATTTTTTAAAGAATCCTGCCGCCATTTCTGATTTAATATTAATTAAAAAAATATATTTCATCACTTATATTCTAATTTTTATTTAATGATAAATGAAACCAATTTTAAAAATAAATGAAACAGAGGAGGAAGAAATAAATGAAAGTGAAAATGTTCAACAAAAAATAAACGTTGTTAAACCAATTACTGAAATAAAAATTTTTTCATCTGTTGAAGAATTTAATGACTATTATGCTAATAATAAAAAATTATTTGAAGAATTGACAACGTGTAAATTGAATAAAATGTTTAAAGTTGATGGATTCAAAATTTCAAAAATAAAAGGAGTGGTTAGTTTGAAATCTATTCCTCAATCAAGAATCACCTCATTAATGAAAATTGATGATTTAACAAAAAGAATAGAAGAGATTGAAGAAAGAATGAATCAAATAATTGATTTTATAAATTCAAATAATCATTAGTTTCTTAAAGTTCAATGTTGAACTCATCAAATTTCTTTTTAAAGTTTATGACTCCATTGATTCCATGAAATTAAATATTCTTTATCATTATATTTATACCTCATTAGCTTATTTTGGCTTTCATATTCATTTAATAATTCACAATCTTCATTTTTAAATTGAAGTTTAACCCATTCAGGATTTAAACAATGTTTAATTAATCGCGGAATATCTGACATCATCTATATATAGCTTCTTTTATAAAAGATAAAATAATTAATTATTTTAAAATTAATGTTAATTTTTTAAAATGTGTTTAGTATATAATATTTATTACTAATTTATTTAATAATGTCGCGCTTTCTTACGAATTCATGACTTAAAAAACGTAAGAAAAATTTTTTATATCATCTATATATAGAAGATGTGAAAATATACCTTCATCTATATATAGACGTAACAAAAAAAGTCACACAACCCTTCCTATCCTACTACTAAAATGATGATATAAAATTAGATTATTTTACAAGTAGCTAAAAGAATAAAACTATAATATAAAATAAATGAAGTTTAATGAAACAATAAAGGTTAAATAAATAATAAAGATTTTTATTTTATATCAGTATTGAGAAGAAGTAACAGCTGACACTTGGTAGACAACTTCTTTATGTCTAGAAAATTCTATCTTGCCTTTTATTTTTTTTCTCGCTGTGAAACGTTTTCGGTCATTTTTTTAAAAATTAATTTTTTGTTAGAGATAAGAGCTAAAACTCGGTAAACAACTTCTTTATGTCTAGAAAATTCTATCTTGCCTTTTATTTTTTTCTCGCTGTGAAACGTTTTCGGTCATTTTTTTAAAAATTAATTTTTTGTTAGAGATAAGAGCTAAAACTCGGTAAACAACTTCTTTATGTCTAGAAAATTCTATCTTGCCTTTTATTTTTTTCTCGCTGTGAAACGTTTTCGGTCATTTTTTTAAAAATTAATTTTTTGTTAGAGATAAGAGCTAAAACTCGGTAAACAACTTCTTTATGTCTAGAAAATTCTATCTTGCCTTTTATTTTTTTCTCGCTGTGAAACGTTTTCGGTCATTTTTTTAAAAATTAATTTTTTGTTAGAGATAAGAGCTAAAACTCGGTAAACAACTTCTTTATGTCTAGAAAATTCTATCTTGCCTTTTATTTTTTTCTCGCTGTGAAACGTATTCGGTCTTTTTTTAAAAATTAATTTTTTGTTAGAGATAAGAGCTAAAACTCGGTAAACAACTTCTTTATGTCTAGAAAATTCTATCTTGCCTTTTATTTTTTTCTCGCTGTGAAACGTATTCGGTCTTTTTTTTAAAAATTAATTTTTGTTAGAGATAAGAGCTAAAACTCGGTAAACAACTTCTTTATGTCTAGAAAATTCTATCTTGCCTTTTATTTTTTTCTCGCTGTGAAACGTATTCGGTCTTTTTTTTAAAAATTAATTTTTTGTTAGAGATAAGAGCTAAAACTCGGTAAACAACTTCTTTATGTCTAGAAAATTCTATCTTGCCTTTTATTTTTTTCTCGCTGTGAAACGTTTTCGGTCATTTTTTTAAAAATTAATTTTTTGTTAGAGATAAGAGCTAAAACTCGGTAAACAACTTCTTTATGTCTAGAAAATTCTATCTTGCCTTTTATTTTTTTCTCGCTGTGAAACGTATTCGGTCTTTTTTTAAAAATTAATTTTTTGTTAGAGATAAGAGCTAAAACTCGGTAAACAACTTCTTTATGTCTAGAAAATTCTATCTTGCCTTTTATTTTTTTCTCGCTGTGAAACGTATTCGGTCTTTTTTTTAAAAATTAATTTTTTGTTAGAGATAAGAGCTAAAACTCGGTAAACAACTTCTTTATGTCTAGAAAATTCTATCTTGCCTTTTATTTTTTTCTCGCTGTGAAACGTTTTCGGTCATTTTTTTAAAAATTAATTTTTTTGTTAGAGATAAGAGCTAAAACTCGGTAAACAACTTCTTTATGTCTAGAAAATTCTATCTTGCCTTTTATTTTTTTCTCGCTGTGAAACGTATTCGGTCATTTTTTTTAAAAATTAATTTTTTGTTAGAGATAAGAGCTAAAACTTTGCAGACAACTTCCCCATGTCTAGCAAATTTAACATTCGTCTCCCATTTTTATATATTTGGTTTAGAATGTTCGAAAATGCGTAATATGGTCATTAATATTAATTGAAAAGAACCTTGAATTAATTCAATCTGATCTCACAAAATATTTTAAATTACAAACTTTGTAGTTTGAATAGATAATTAGTATTAAACTCAAATAACTAGTTTATTTTTGAATAAAAATTATTTGAATTTATTCAATTTTGTGAATTTTCCTTCAAAAATCAAGTTTAAATATCTTATTTGCCATATAATTATAAATACAATGAAACATATTCGAAATTGAAAAGAATGACTTTTTCTGTTCTTTCAATCATTCAATTTGAATTTTGCAATATTGGATTTCTCATTAAATAGCTATTAAAAACAACAAGCAATTTAACTTACATTCAAATTTATTTGTGTTATATTCAATCTTCTCAAAACTTATAATTTTCGGCTATAGCATGATTATATGCTATATAATATAATAAACCTATAATAGTATCATTCTTTCAATTATTTGAAGAGAAAACCGAAAAAATCTATTTTCGGTCTATAACAGGTTTTTCCGTCCAGAAAGCAAAAACAGGATTATATAATTAAACAGATAATTTTTTTCATAGGGATAAAAAATTTTCAAGAAAACTCTTATTGAATTTTATTAACAATTTTGAAAGAAAATTTTGGACGATTAACTACGAATTCATTATCATGATTCAAAAAATGTTAATTTTAAATTTTGCCTTGATTTTGATAAAATTTTGACAATTCAATTCATTCTCCATCAATGTTGATTGACGCTACAGCACAGTTTGAACAAGAATTCGGAGCAGAAGAAGAATCCGATGATGAATACGAATATTTTCCACAAAACTCACGTAACAACCGCAATCCACGACGCATTTCCACAGATTCAAATTATCGTTATATTTCATCTTCTCCCAAAGGAACCATTGCTTTGTCTAGTATTAAAAAGAGCCAATCCAGCTTTATTACTCCATTAAACCTTATATTAGATCTCGATAATACATTAATATATACTTCAGTTGAAGCAAATTCATCTTACGATTTCACAGTCACAATTCCAGATGATTCTGGTTCCATGGTTACCCTCTATATTACCAAAAGACCACATTTAGATGCGTTTTTGGCCAAAATCTCAAACATTACTCAGCCATACATATTTACTTCCAGCTCTGAAGAGTATGCTGATCAGATAATTTCTTTCCTTGATCCACTTGGTAAGATTTTTGTTCACAAATTCTTCAGAGATTCATGCAGGCTCGTTAAGCCAAACGTATACGTCAAGGACATTTCAACTGTCGGGACATGCGTTGAGCGCACAATCTTGGTCGATGACAACATCGAGGCTTTCGGCGGCCACCTCGAAAATGCGGTTAGGATCCCACCTTTCTTAGGAGACCCACATGATAGGGAACTTGATACCCTCTCATCAATTGTCGAGCGCCTTCGCACTTTTGACGACGTTCGTCCACTTTTGATGAAAATTAACTCTCGTTAAATGATTTGTTTGTATTGCTTTTTGTTTAATTGCTTGATTTTTTCATTTCCTTCTACTATTTAAGTAATTTCACTCAAATAAATTCGAATAAAAATGTTTATCACTAAATATAATGCTTTATTTTTAATGATTGAATTATATTTCCTATAAAATTATAGTAATGTTGTTGTAATTTGAAGAGATAACCTCATAATGGAAAAGAAAAAGTATCGGTATCATCCAGAAAAGTTTGACAGCAAAGATCCAGTTCTACAGGAACAATGGGAAGACCTAAAAGATGTACTGTGTGATAATGAGTACATGACTAAATACAAGATTATGATTGGAAAACCAATTAATTTGAAAACTATAATAGAAATATGGACATCAAAGAGTACAGACTTATCCAATATATGGTCGCATTTCCTTGCGGGTGTATTTTTCATCATTAGAGGCTGGTCCTTCGATGGCCGATTATTTACATTACACCTCTTAGCGGCATACACATATATAATGTCTGCAATGTATCATACTTTCCGTAACTACAATAGGAAAATGTATGATATCATGTTAAATTTTGATGTTTCCGGAATTGCAATACAAATCTTTTCTTATGACTTTGTAGATACAATTGCATTCTTCCATGGAAAGAGAGATGATCTTATGTACATATATTGCGCTGTTTTCGCAATTCTCTCAGTTATTGTAATCGGAGCTGTACCAATCATTTTAAGTAGGAAGCTCTATACATTGAGAACAGTTCTATTTTCACTTTGTGCTTTTACCTGCTTCCCATTGTTCGCTCACGGAATCAAAATTTATGGATGGAATGAAAAAAGCCAAAACATGCTTATATTACGCATTGCTACTATTGCATTAGAAGGTGTTGGAATCTTCTTCCGCGCTAGTAAAGTTCCAGAACGTTTCACACAAGGAAATATCTTTCAGTGGTGCCTGCATTCACATTTTTGGTTCCATATTGCAGGTGCTATAGGAAGCTATGTAGGCTGTCTATCCGCTGAAGCAATGGCATAATGAAAATTGTTTTTTTATTGAAATTCAAACAAATTAAAAATCATGAATGCTTTATGCAAGCAAGTTAGTTCTTTATTTAATGAAATCTACTCTAAGTTAATGGGAAATTTTTTTTCCCTCATCTTTCTGACACAGAAAATATTCAGTATTTAAAATACCAGCTGTTTGAATATTCTAATCAACCAATCCTTTGCATATGTGGCATAAGAGTTTATTTATGGTAATATGTCTCAACAAGCACCTTAGATTAGGAACAAAGACTTCAATCAGAAGTTGATTGAAGAAGAAAATCTTCAAAGATTGTTTGTAACAATCTTTTAAGTCTTTGTTCATCATCTGAGGTACAACATCTGCGCATCTACCTCAAATGAGGAACAAAGTCTTCAATCAGATTTTGATTGTCGTAAATTCTATGGTGATCACCAAACAAATGTCCAAATCGGGAAAATTATATGATGATCACTTGCAAAGGATAGTATAATATGCTTCTAATTTTGCATAATCTGGAAGGAAAAAGTTAAAAATCATTTGTCTTCATTCTATTTTTATGCTTGTTTTAACTTTTGGCTAGTTTTTTAGTTTGTCATTTCTCAATTTGATTGAAAGGGGACAATCATCAGAAAAATTTTGATCAAAAATTTTTAATGTATTAGAATGAAAAAGAAGATTTTCAAGTAAGATCTCCTAAACAAGAAATGTTTCTCAAAAATATGTATTCCATCGACCCATATCGATATGGGTTACATCCAGAACGCAAGCTAAGTCCAATTTCTTATTCAATTCGTCTAAGATGTCAAATTGACGAAAGAATGGCAGAGAAAATCTCCATTAGGAAAAGGCACGAGTACTTCTTATATACACATGTATCACTAAATTACGATGAAATAAATAAATCCATTGTTTCAGAGACTCTTTGGAAAGCAAAGCAGTTTCAATTCAGAGCTGCAGTTGATAATGATTTTGGATATTACGATGTATTTAAAGAAGGAATGAAAAAGTATTTATTTGAACGCAAAGATATTTTCCCTGAATCTGAATTGGCAGATATAGAAAAGTTTGTTACTTATGCAAAGCCCGAAAACTTCTGCATTATGAATCCATACACAAAAAAATGGTCCCATACAGTCCTGAAATTCTGGAAAAATTGAATGTATACGTCAGAGATAAATTGTTTTTTCCTCGGTTTGGAACGCTCTACATCGGTCACGTTCCCAAATTATGTGCAGATGAATTTTATGATACGAAACATATCTGGTATATTCGAATTTTGAATGGTATGGAATGAGTAAAATAGTAATGAGAAAGCTAAAAATTCACTTTACAAAAAAATATAACAAATAAGAAAATCAATTTTTTGTATAAATGATATGTCTCTGTGTAATTTTCTTAAAAGAAAAGAGTATTTATAACTCAATTATCAATATGATTTATAAGGATGGTAAATGCTTAATCAATTGAGATTTTAAACGAAACTAAGATTAAAGGAAATGGAATCACCATGTTTTCAAAACGTAGTTAAACATGAAATTGGATGACAATAATTATTCTATATCTTTAGAATTCAAAATTTAATAAAATATAACTTAGCAACCCATCCAGCAATTTTAATGTGAAGGGCAATTAGTCTAGTGGTATGATTCGCGCTTAGGGTGCGCGAGGTCGCGGGTTCAATTCCCGCATTGCCCCCATCTTTTTCTTTTTTCTTTTCTGAAACGTTGTCTAAGACTATTACACTATGAGATAAGTATCCTACAGAGCAATATCTCTTTAAGTTGAATTCGACTTTAACGAAGTGTATCTTAACATTTCCGAAATTGTTCATTTCTTTATATATTTATCGCAACACTTCATAAAATCTTTTTTTCTGCTGTACAAATGATATTTCTCTGTGTGCTGTCTTGTAATACATCTAGTTCGCTACAATTCATTTTCAAAGAAAATTTCGACAGCGTGAAAAAAACTTTATGAATTTTGATTGACTACAATTTCTTGATATGCATGATTTGAGTCATAATATGAAGAATTGGGAACTTTTGAAAATTTTGATATTACTTGAAGGAATATGATTTTTCCTGTGAAAAATACTTTTGAAATATAAAATTGAGGAGATTAACGTTATTTCTCCGAGGAAGGATTTTCAGCTTATAGGTATGGGATGTCATCAATCAACCCCCGTGCCGCGTATTAAGCAAGACCCAAAGGAACCAGCCGACTCGGACCAAACTACTAACGATTCCTTCCATGAGTTGTCAGATAACTTTAATTTAACTGGTCGCTCCCAAGGAACTCCTAGGACAGCATGCTCTTTTGGATTCCTTATAGAGCAAACAGAAAACTATCAGATATACGAATATATGTTTCAAGATGAAATCGGTAAAGGATCTACAACAAGAGTATATCAAGTTTTGAACGTCGAAACGAATCAAACATATGCAGCAAAAGTTTATTCCAAATCGTTACTCACGAAACAAGTCCTTCTTGGATGTAACTCTGCTTTAGACAACTTAAAAGAAGAAATAGAAGTTCAAAGTAAAATGAATAATCCTTACGTTTTGCCGATTATCGAAATTATAGAAGATGAACCATCAGATTCTTTAATTATGGTTATGCCAATCGCCAAATATGGAAATTTAATTCATTATATTGAATCTCAAAAACCAGACGAAAAGAATCTTGCCCTTTGCTTTTTTCAGATCTGCAGTGCTATTAAATATATTCATTCTAACAACATTGTACACCGCGATATTAAGCCAGCAAATATTCTCGTTATTGATGTAGACAATTTTTGCTTAGCGGACTTTTCATGCTCTCGTAAACTTTCATCCAGTGACGAAATGTTGCTCGATACGAAGGGAACCCCTGCATATTTGTCGCCTGAAGAATGTAGCGGTGATATCTACTCTCCGAAGGCTACCGATATATGGGCACTCGGATTATCATTATATTATGCAATGTTTGGCTACCTTCCTTTTGAACTGGAAACAACAGTCGGTTCAGAATTGGCTAATTTGGTTTTAAATGTCTCCCATCTTCTTAAAGAAAAGGAACTCATTATTCCTGAATGCTCTGAAGAGGTGAGGGATTTAATTTCAAAACTTTTGGTGAAAGATTACAGGGATAGAATTACTATTGAAGAAGCTTTGAACCATCCATGGTTCAAGAAGTTTCAGTAGAGCTTAGATAATAGAGTGTATTATAATTTAATTATAATTTTTGTTTGTAAACATGTATTATTTAATATTATTCAATTTTAGCTCTTCTATTGAGCTTTATATTAACTGTAATGAAAGTTCCTATAATAATTTCATGTTAATATAAGAGGACATACCTTTCAAGAAAAATTCCCATATCTGAAATCGTTAAATATAGGAAATGTATGTGTGTATTTTGTAACATTTCCTTTACGATTGATGATTTACTAGGAAATTCAATAAAATCTCAAATAAGACCTGAAATCAGAACGAAATCTGCATACAAACTGAAAAAATTTCTATTATTTAGCTTTCCCATATTGTACTGATCTCATCCTTCGGATTTTCAGGATAAAAATGACAATCCTTAAATTCAATTCACCTCACCGATTATCGGTGCAATGCGTACGAGGAATCGGGGCCATCGAACAGAGACGCAGGACGACAACATGGCCTACTCTGATGATGAGTACTCGCATGATGGTAAGTCTGGGAAGCAAAATATGCCTCCAAAATCGACTTCAACGATGAAATTGAGAAATAAATCTGCCGAAAAACTCGTTGCAGATAAAAAGGACGGATTGAGTAACTTCGTTATACAATACTCTAAGAGATCTTACTCTTTCATATATCCACCTTCAAAGAAATTGCATGAAATGCCCGAAACAAAAAATATTGATACAGCAGCTAAAACTTCCGTTGAATCTTCCACATTTCTAACAAAGAAATGGTCCGAAAACCTTAATACTATGCTTATTGATCAGTCAAACTCAGTAAAATTTGCTTCAATTTCAATTTTCATTGAGAAATGTCGATCAATCTACCACAACTGCCCTCCATTTCTAATTATTACTCATGTCGATCAGTTCAGTGAGTGGATTGATCAGATAAAATACTGGACAAACCAATCAATTTACATTTGTTCTAATAACAAGAACGAGCGTCATGATGTTAATGACTTATCACTGTTCTTTGATCAAGGTCCTGAAGATCAATTTGGTGTTATTCTTATTAGTTTCAATCAATTTCATACTGACCCTTCTGTTTTACTGAAATTTAAATGGGCATCTGTTATTTTTGATGATCCAGAAGAGGTAAATGATATTTCTGTCTTAGATTACCACTCAAGAACCCTCGTTCTTACAGAAGATGAGCACAGATCAGATTTCGAACAAGAATTTCTCTCTGTAGAAAAGGATTCAGTATTCCCAGAGTCCGAAATATACCATATCACGCCTGAAGCAGCAGCTTCCGATGGTTTATTCGCTGAAACTTTGGTGAATTGTCCAATGATCCAGATTCAAAATGAGAAATACTTACAAATAATACAAGATAACAAGGAATTTGTAAGTAAACTATCAGAAAACAAAGGCGATGCTCATGAAAAAACATGTGGAATCATTAAATTTCTTAGAGAATGCGGAGATCATCCAAGTTTAGTTGATTCTTCAATACATTCTGAGTTGATTTCGATGTCTGGAAAGACAAGTATATTATCAAGGCTTCTTTCATCACAAAAAACAGATAAAAGAAAATCAATTTTAGTTGCATCAGATGAGAACTCTAAAATCATTGAAACAATGTTCTCTGATAACAGAGTTTCATATGTTTGTATCAATACAGAAGACAGCAAAGCAGATGTCGAAGAAAAAGTCAAACAATTCGAATCAGAAGATTTTTCACGCGTTCTTCTTATCAATCCAGAAAATATGAACTATGCAGTTGCAAATACTAAGTCACAGACCATCATTTCCTACGATTTGAGCTGGACTCCCGTTGATTCTGGATCCGAAATCATATTATGGAACGCTAAAGTACCAAATACTCAACAATACAGACTTGTCACTCAAGATACTATTGAGCAGATCATGTTTGAGCATTTCTGGTTCAACAGATCTCAAAAACCGAAATCCGTAGAAAATACCAAACTTTGTTCCTTCGAATCTGCCTTAGATGTTCTCAGGAGAGCACTTATACTTGCTCATAAGAACCTTGGAGTCGTCAGATCCCCACACAGATCAATTCTTAAAGACAGTAAAACTGTTTTTTACTCTGACCAAACAGCATTTGAAATTTCAGAGTATAATTGGTCGGACACTTATTTAGAACCACCTGAGAAACCATTACCGCCAGAAGAGAAACCTAAAACAGTACGGCCATTAACACCAGCACAATATTGGACACATGAAAATTTATTGGATTTTTTAACGTATTTTCCGAATTTTCCATGGGGAAAATGGAGTGTTTACGAGAAACACAACAGACCTGTACCAGAACTTATCAAACTCTGGGTTGTTTTTGCAAAATCTTTGTTCAAAAGTTTGCAAAACCAAAATGATTTTCCACACGTTCTTTCTCTGATAAAAGAACATGGAAAATTCGACCAAAAGAGATTTATCAACTCGTTAAGTTCATGGGGACAAGTCTTCCCTCTCCTAAACGCTGAAGAAGTTCTGACAGACATAGAAAATTGGCCAACAATTGAATCAGTTTGTTCGGATGATTTTGATTCATTTAGTGAAATTCAAATTCCGAAATTTGACTCCGAAATCCCTGAAAATGAACTGAAAAAACTGATTTTCTCTTCGAGCAGAGATGGTCTCAAGACAATTCCCGATGAGAAGAGAGAGTTGTTCAGGCAAACAATAAGAAAACTCCAAGTTGCAATCAAAGAAAAAGGAATTTTGGAAAAACAGAATTCTAAAAATTCAAAAAATTCAAAGAATTCTTCAAAAAGTCACGTTTCCACTTCACTTTCCAAAGAAAAAGCAAGTGACATGAAGAAATTCGATGTAAGTGACCACAACAAAGTTATAAACTGCTTGATGAGTTTCGGACTTCCTGAAAAAATCGAAGAATTTAAGGAAGTTGCGGATTTGTCAGATTTTTCTGATGAAAAAGTGACATATTATATCAATTCTGTTATCAGGTACTGCCAAACTAACGAAGACCCAAAGAGCCTTCAAATCATCGGCAGAATCGTTAAATATCATCAGCAAAAAATACCAAAACGGTTAGAATTATTCAAAAAATTGAGATCAATAAAAAGTGACATCCAAACATATTCTGCTGAAGACATAGAGTTCCTTCAAGCTGTTTCTTCTCACGGCTTCAATTCTTCATCATTGTCACCTGTTTTAATGTCACTTTTTTCTGGATCTCCATCAGAAATCAAAATCCATTCAAAAGTGAAGTCACTTTTAGAGCAAACTCCTGTTATTGTTGACAAGAAACTTCCAGAGAATATAGAGAGTAAATTGCCACTCAGATTGAATGATATGCAGATGCTAATCAAATTAGGAAAAATTGATGAAAAAAGTGTCAATGATTTTTATGTTTATCCAGATGGATACGAAGTTCATACGATCTCTAAACAATCCAATGGTGAAAGTGATGTCTTCTGGAAATGTACGATAAATCTGACAGAAAACGGTTTTATTTTTACAATGTCAAATTTAGAAAATGACACAATCAAATTTGAAGGGAAATCTCCTGACGAAGTTGCCGAGAAATACAAGAAGAAGTTGCAGATGAAAGGTTTGAAGAACATAACAGTTGATGGACATGAACTCTTCGCTTTGAATTCTCCTTTGCTACACAAAATTTTCTCCCAAAATTCAAAAATTATTCCTTTGGGTTACAAAAAACGGTTTTTCACTTCAAATTTGGTTTTATCGTCTAAATATCCAGAAATCGGAAAGTTCTCTAAAGAAACAGATAAGAGCCAGAATGCTCTGGAAAAGCCAATGACAAATATTCCTGTTCCGCCTCAACAAACTCAACAACATTTCAAGTTTCAGAAGAAAACATTTGGAAACCTTCAAGCTCCGATTGTTCTCGATTTGTCTGAATTGGAAAAGTCTGACCAACAAAGACTTACATTGGGCTTCTCAACCAATGTCAACAGCAACAAGAAAATTGTTGATTGCTACTCAAGTTGGATCGATTTCAGTGATTGGTTGCCTTAATATAATATTTTTTTGTTTTATTGTATTTTAAAGATATTATTTTTTTTAGATCAAAATATTTATGTAATCATTTTATTGCTTGTCTTTTATCAATAGTGGTTATAATTGAATATGCGAATATATATTATTATTGCTGATGTGTTTGACTTAATTTATAAACTATTCTGTTTTTCAGAAGTTCAAGAGAAAATTGATTGGAACATATTTCGTTAAACAATTGATTTTTCCAGAGAATTGATTTTGGTTTATTGATTACATTATAAATTAATTCAATCTCATCTTTAAAAGTTAGGTGAATTCAACAAATGTGTTCCACACTATTAACATATCAATTAATGATTCAACAGGGCATCAATACAGTGCTTCAAAATATAACAAAAGTCATGGCGTTCAAGCAATTTCAGGGGAAAAAAATAATTTCGAACACAATACGACAAGTTTAACTTATATGAACTAGAATCACTTTTGATGCCTGCATAATATATTTTATTATTGAAACCATGGTCAAGTTTAATGAAATACTTAGTTTAATAAAATAATTATAAAAATATTTGTTTATTCATAAACCTTTGGAAATATTTAGTAGTTTAGGAAAATTCCGTAGCAACTTCTATATTTGTATAAGTGCTGTTTTAGAGTCGGTTTATCAACACATTTTCTAATTGTAGCAATCAAATGCTGAACATTTGCGCCTTGAGAAATGATACCAGAAAAGCATCCATTTACGAAAAATGAAGCAAGATTCTGAAATGCCACAATTGAAATTGTTTTAACAGGTTCGAAAACTCTGAAACAACAATCCCAAAACTGCTTTCTTTCATAAAGGTAGCATTTGTTAGATAAAATGACGTCGGAAATGTAATCAAAGTACCAATCATCGTTTGAAGGATCAAAGTTCTCTTGGAACAGTTTGAGCATTTCATTCCTGACATTTAGATTTGGATGCAAAAGATATGCTTTGAAGAAATCATCTATCTTAAGGAATGAAATTGGCTTCTTAAGTTTTGCTTTTGTTTCTGTGGCCTCTTTATTTCTACCAAGTTCGATGTGAGTAGCATATCTGCAAACAAGGATATCCGGATCTTCTGATGATTTGGTAAAGTTATTGATTATATACATGAACTTTTTATCATGTTTCAACAACGATGTCATTGATGAAGGACCGTTGTTAACTCTTCTGTAGAAAAGCATATTTGCAGAATCATTTGATTCCTTCAATACTTGTTTCAATGATGTTTGTGCTACTTGAGTATCGTTAAATAGGTACCAATTTTCTCCTTGTTTACAGTATGAGTAATAGTGTCCATGTTGTGTAGTTCCATAGTAGATAACCGTTCCACAAAGAGTGAATTGAACGCCATTGTATACAAAATCTGGTTGAATTTGATAAGATTTGTTGTAATTTTTCTTTGAAGATGAATCAAATCTCTCAAGTTTGAAGACAAAGACTTCTGGAAGATTGATGATCTTTCTCTTCAAAAGACAGTCATACATAACTCCCTTCGACATTTGTTGTATTGGTTCTGGTGCGATATAATCATCAATTTGTTGAGCAATAGTCTTATTGACATCTGTTTTGATTAAGAATGAAAGTTTGTCATCATTTATTGAAAGAATGACATTTTTAGTTGCCTTATCTTCATAATCACCATCAATTTTCATGAAGAATAGATTGTTTTCGGCTTTGAGAATGTCATAAACATTATTGATGACATCGACATAGAATTCATCAGCCTCATTTTGTTGGGATGGATCAATTGGATCACCTTGGAATGTAAAATCATGAACAAAGCGTTTCATTGAAATTTGATGTTGAATTGAACTGTATTGCATCTCACAAAACAAATTTTGAAGAGCTGTGATGTATTTATCATTTTGAGCTTGAGCACTGAGAATTAGGTCTCTGAATTCTTTGATATTGAACAATTGTTGAATTGTTGAATTCAAATAACATGTTCCGCCAAGATTTTGAAGTCCATTCTTCAATGATTCAACATTTTGTAATTGCAAGCATTTCTTCTTGCAAATGAATGAAACAACTGCTTTTGGATCAAGAAATGCATAGTAATTCTTAAGGAATGAAGTTAGATTATCACTAATTGCTAGTTCTTTGTTATTATTGATCAAATTGGCAAAGATATCTTGAACAATAATTTCGTAATAACCATGATTTTGTGTTACTTGTTCATCATATTTGTTACAGATATCAAATGCACTGATCAAATTGTTGACAAAATCATCAGAAAGAGTTGCTTTTGTGTCCTTTATTTGCTTGTGAAGGTTCTGCAAGAATGCTTTGAAATTAGTTGTTTTTGAAGCTAAAATTGGAATTAATGAATAGCGGAGAGAACTTGGAATGGATAGATTTGATGACATCTGATTGAAAACTTCATATTGAATATTGATTACTTTTGATTCTGATTTGACTTTCTGAATTATGATTTTATTTAAATCAGGATAATCTGTATCAAGAAGCTCTTTAAACAAACTTTTGGCTTCGGATTTACCTTGTGCTAAAAGAGTTTCAAGGGAATTTGTTGATACCAAATTATTCCACTTATTAATGTAATCTTCTTCAACAGTCGTCATTTTGTGATCTTCTTTATGCGTTTGTACTGGAACTTCCGGTTTCTCAGCCTGATCAGCATTTGTTTCTGAACTATCTTCTTCAAGTCTAATATCGCCGCAGCTGATATCACCACCATGATTTTGATATCCAGCGGATGTATTTTGATCTTCTTCTATAGGATCAACATCTCCGCATACTGTATTTTTTTCTTTTAAATTTTGCCTAGTATCTCTTGTTCTTTCAATAAAAGGATTTAGTATATTGATTAAATCTTCTAAAATTGCTAGTTTTAAATATTTTTGAAGAGAATTAAGAATCATTAGAGTTTCATCAAGATTATTCAGAGAAATGTGTGTATTTTGAATGGTATAAAATAAGTCATGAGAATCATATTTATCTGATCCCTGTTTTAACATTGAAATGTAATCTTCAGTTGATAATCTTGTATTTGATAAGATTCTTCTTGCTTGTGTCATCTCAAATGTATCGAAAAACTTCTCATCTTCTAGAAAAGTTTTGATATTTTGTGCATTAGTATTGACATCAAGCACTAAACCTTTCATTTGAATTGAAAGTCGTTTATTTTGTAATAAACAGAAATTCATCAAAAGTGACAGCTCTCAATTTTTTGACATTTGTAAATTCTAAATTGAATGAGAAAAATGAAATAATACTAAGCATAATACAATATTCTAGATTTAATTATAATTAAGAAAAAGTTAGTTTTGAGAGTACTTTTCATAGGCATATAGAATGAAATCTTCTGAAAAATAATATCACATAAACTCATATTATTTTCTAATATATAACTATTTTATATAAAAATCAAATTCAATGATCTTAAAAGCGAAGGATAAACCTCAAAATTTACGAATATAATGAGTGGGAATAGGCGTAAAGCAAAAATTGATATTTCATATGGTTTTATGATAGATAAGCATTATATTCCCACTCATTATATTCGTAAATTTTGAGGTTTATCCTTCGCTTTTAAGATCATTGAATTTGATTTTTATATAAAATAGTTATATATTAGAAAATAATATGAGTTTATGTGATATTATTTTTCAGAAGATTTTGTGTTCTTCTTCAAAATTTTATTTTTTAATAAAAAGAATCTTTACAAATATACATTTACTGTAATTAATATTTAAAAACGTGCTCTATCAAAAGTTCCAAAAATTCAATATTTTAGCTTTTCTGAGATGTCACTTTTGATGAATTTCTGTTTACAACAATTTCAATTTCTTGGTATTTTTGGGAGAGAATGTCTATTTCGAAAAAAATAATTGTCTTTCGGTCTATTTCGAAAATAATCGTTCCGATCACGACGATAGACATTAAAATGCATAATTCTCCACCATAGAGTTATTTTAGATCCTTGGCTTATTAGGCGCTACTAAAGCATACTATTTGCAATCTATTTATATAATAAAAATACTATGTTATGCTTTTTTATGAGATTAATTAGAAGATTGCAAGACAAATTATGATATTTCTCACTATTTTCACATATAATCAGATAGCCTAATACTAATACTAACGTTTTGTCACTGTGCTATTATGTTAATACATAAAAAGTATTATGCTTATTTAATTCTAAAAAAAATATTGTGTATATAAGATCACAATATATTATTTGTGCTAACATATACGAGAATATAACAATAACGCTGTTGTTTATCCCAAATATATTGTATTTAATATAAAAAATATTATCAATTATTATTTGTGTTTGCAACGAGGCCTTTAATAAATACATAGTTTAAGGTGATGATTCACAATAATAAAATGTGATAATTCTCTTAATTTTTTTTATTATTATGAAATATTTAGCATATCATTAATATAATGGATGATCTGAATCGTATTAAGGAAATCTAAATCTATTCAATGATTAAAATTCGATATAAATCGAGTTAAATCACAATTGCATAAATTGATTAAGATATTAGGTAAATAGCTGTGGTATATCATTTAAATAGTAATGTTTATGAGTGTGTATATGCACAATTTGTGAAAAAACAGTTTTTTGTCTCATATTTCAAAGAAATATCAATAAATCGATTATTAGACAGAATGCTTCACCAGTAATGATTGCGTTACGTTATAAATTAACAATTTTGGCCAATCATTCATCTAAAATTGTCAAGAATTTAAAATTTGAATAAAGCTGTTGATTTTATAAGAGATATATATGAGAATTTATCTTTAAAATTAGTCACTTGCTATGATATATAAGTGGTTTATCTTAAAAGGTAATATCTATCAAAATTGATTACAAATTTTTGAGAAAAATCATAAATTTTCGCAGAAATAACATTATATACAAATATTAAACTTGATCTACTTACTCAAAAATTCCAAAATAATTTTAGATTTATGATTTTCATAGATTTTTTAACAATTTTTGAATTTATTTTTTATTTTTTGAAAAAAATTTGGAAATTTCACATCATTAAATCACGTTTTTACTATTTCAATAGTTATTTTTACGTTAAGTTGTAATGAATTTACTTATTTTTAAGTGAAAATATAAAATAATGTCAATATTTTAAAAATAATGAGGAATTAGCAAGAATGATCAATGTAACTCTTTCATATATCATCAATTACTACTTTTTCTTTTCATTTATAGTGAATGAATATGGTTGAATGCTGCTAACGTATTCATTAACAGCTAAAGTTGAGAACGGGAACATCAAATACTGATTCGAAACAGATTACCTTGATGAACTCGTCTCTATTTAATCATTCAAAATTCATATTTCTCGATTATTATTACAAACTCTCTCAAATTAAGCAAATTATACATCATTTTATCAACATTACAATTGCAATCTACATTCAATACGAAATTCAAACGAAATTCTCCATTATTACAATATTTTGATTCATAAATTAACGAAAATGAAATCTTTTATAAATTTCGAATAAACAAACAACGTATAACTCAAATGTACAATCAATAAATGAATTTCAAAGTTTTTTACAGATTCAAAATATCTTTTTAAAATATTCTCATTATCAGCTTCCTTTATGCTCGCATTACACTACAGATATATTTCGCCAGGCAACTACTTTAAAAAATTCGATTTTCAGAAATTTTACATTCTTTTTTTGTTAAAATCGTTCTAATACTAGTGATCCAGATCACTGCTACGATAAACAAATATAGTGCTATTACTTTCTTACTTATTATGACTAAAAATTTATTTTTATTATTATTTTGTGCTTTATTTTTCATATATTCACTTCAGCATACTTATTTATCAGAATAATAGAGAGATTACAGGGTCATAATCCCATAAAAACTTCTTTACCATGATTAATATAATGAAAACTCACAAATTGTCATTTTATAGGATTTTTCAATATAAAATTATGATATATAGAATATGTTTAGTAAGTTTCCAAACAATCATCAATACATATCATATATAATGAAATTATGATTTTATATAAGAACTTGAACACTTTCTTTACTATATATTTACCTCGGCCTAGACGAGTTATGATCTATGCATATATTCATTCACTTCAAAATGCAATCTTTAATAATTTCGCCCTCTATCGTCGTGATCGGGACGATTATTTTCGAAATAGACCGAAAGACGATTATTTTTTTCGAAATAGACATTCTCCCGTATTTTTGGTTTAATTTAGAAATCTGTGGACGATTTTGCATTGTAAAATATTTTATGTTAAAAAAATCCTGAAAATGCTGAAATTGTAATCGAAATTTCGAAATAACAAATGTAATCGGGAAACTTTGTTTGTATTTTTGTTGTATAATTTAATTGATGTCAATTACCTTAAAATTATGAATTTTAATTATGTCATTTTATAAATAAGGCTAATACACAAAATATTGAATGTAGTATTGAATCACAACATCATCACAGCATTTCGTACACACGCGGCACGATTTGCTCTGGATTAATGAATTTTTTATTTAAATTTAAATAATCTGTATATTACAATTGTCAAATTTAATAATGTTCGCATTCTTCTTTCATAATGTTCTTTCCGCAATGCCTGTAAACTATGCGCTTAGTTTTAATGGTAGTGGGGTACTTTCTCTAGGAAGATTCAAAGAACTAGACAACATTGAAAAGTTTACGTTTCAATTTTGGCTTTGCCCATCACAATGGGAGTCAGGAACCCACATAATTGAAAAGGGTAATTCTTTTAGATTTATGCTTGGTGCTGAAAATCAATTGTGTTTCCAATTTAATCAGCGAATCATAAATATCACATCAGCAAACTTAAGCGTTAATAATTGGACTCATCTTACAATCATGAATGGTGATGGCCAAATTAAATTCTTGGTTAACAATAACTTAATTTATAACGAAAGCCAAGTTGAAAGTCTAGTCGCAGATGATGAGCCATTGTACGTTGGATTGAACTATACAGGACGTATTGATGAACTTAGAATCTATAAAAACACACTCTCCGGTGATTATGATAATTTCTGGCAGAATACATTGACAGACCTCACACATCAATGGAATGATCTACTTGGCTACTACAAGTTTGATCAATTCACATGCGAAAATATTGTCGATTACACTGGCAAAAACCATGGAACAATGTCAATTTCAGGCGTCAGTCGCGAGGTTGTAACTGATAATGCAGATTTCCAGTATTTGTTATCAATTTCATATATTAACTACCGTAGGTTTGGCTGGGCAAATCTTGACGAAAAGAAGATGCAATTGACAAACCATTTGTTGATTATCTCTGGTAAAACAGATGCAAATGGTAATGCATGGATTGATTTCCGTGAAAATAATGCTAATTTCACGAATGCAGAATATGTCAAAGATTATGATGGAAGAAATGGGCTCGTCCATTTCAAAGGACAAGGAGCTCAAATGGACTGTGGTGTATATCCAATCGAAAAAGGCACATTTACCTTTGGAGCTTGGTTATATATCGAAGAATGGATTCAAGACTCCGTAATTGTCAAGAAATATTTAAGTGATGCAAAGGGAATCATTGTTAAACTTGGAGATTCAACCAAAAAATCATTTACACTTCACATAAACGGTAATAATTTTACTGTCAAGAACAAGTTGCAAGAAAAGAAGTGGACTTTCTTCGCTTTTGCTATTAATTCAACTGCTGACTCTATGCTTCATCAAGTTATGTTTATCGTTGAAAAGTGGTCCATCAGGAGCAGCCTCTTCATCATTAACCGACTTTTCAGGAATGACGGATGTTCAGACAATCATTGGTGAAAACTTCCATGGTTATTTCGATGAGATCGGAACCGTCTTAATGGCGTTGAATTCATCATGGATCAATGACTATATGAGAAATGGAATGTCATTCCCAGATTATAACAAGTGGATTCCAAGATTATTTATGTTGAATATTGATTGCGATTATAAATTTGACAAGAAATATGATCTTGGCTACAACACATATAACTGGAAGGAATTCCATAATACATTACTCAAACCTTATACAGGAAGAAGAGGTTACAAGATAATGTTATCATGGCAAGCTCACAATGATTGGTTAAAGACTCTTGCAAACGTTCAATTAAGAGAGAAACTTGCAACAAATGTTGCTAGTGTTATCAACGAAGGAGATATTTGGGATGGAACTGATGTCGACTTTGAATATCCATACTCTAAAGCAGAGTGGACAGTTTATGGCGAATTCCTTAAATTACTTCGCCAGAAAGTCAATTCATCTAAATTAGTTTCATTCACTCCACACGCATACATCAAAGATCTACCTAAAGAGTACATGCAATACTTAGATTATGTATTATTCCAATGCTACGGCCCTAATTTGATTGATGTGTGGAAAGATGACGAATATATCAAGATTTATAACAATGTGTTAAACTCTGGATATCCACGAGTGAAGATTGTTTTGAGTTACAGTACAACAACATCTTATGCATTCATTGATAAAAAGCATAACAATTCCATGCCTGATGAAGAATTGTTCAAGAATTTATGGAATGAGAACTTCACAAGAGATACATGGACAACAAACAAAGAAGGCTATGATTACTATTTCAACAGCTACAACTCTGTTTACTTCAGAGCCAAATACATGAGACAACAAAGATCTGCAGGAACAATGTATTGGGATACAATCAGTGATTTAAGAACAGATCATCCTCTTTCTTTGGCAAAGGCTCAGTCTTTCGCATTAGAAGGAAATGTTGATTTAATTGTCGATAAAGTAGAAAATGCACCACCAACTCCTTATCCATATCCAACGCCAATTCCAACACCTTCCCCTACAATCACTGAAACGCCAACATCAGAACCAGTTCCTCCTTCTCCAAATACTCCATCACCAGAACCATCTAGACAAACGCCATCAACAAAGCCAAATCCGGATGACCAAAAGAAGAAAACAATAATAATTGCCTCAGCTTCTGCTGCTGGAGGTTTAGTTGTCATAATAATTGTAATTGTTGTTGTATGCTTGGTAAGAAAGAAAGAAAAGCAATCTGAAATTCATGATACTATGATGACTCTGGTGTAATTAAACATAAATCTCTTTCCTTTTTAATTTACTATATGTTTTTCATATCAACAAAAAATTAAATAATATAAATGCTTATGGACTAATATATATAATGAGTATGCTTACACTTAATGAAAACAAATCTATCCCTGACAATATAAAAAAATTTTTTTGAATCAATAAAATTCATGTGAATGGAGCATTATGTGTTATTAATTTGCAGTTTTATAACCATATTTGCATTTACAATTTAATATTTATGTGATCATTACTAATGATCATTGCCAAAATAAGAATTTTTAAAATTGATCATATAAATTATTTCAAGATTCACATATTTCATATCCGTTTATATAATAAATTAAAAATGATAACCCAGAATATTTATTCGCTAAAAAGCAATTATTGGGCACGAGATAATCTTTGATGTCTTGAACGGATAATTGAACCACCCCATTCAACAATTGTGAAGCCGGTACGCTTAATATTTGGTATTGCCTGGACTGGTTTATTCAAGTCAGATTTACGTGCCTTGCGAATTGCAATGTAAACGCGGATGACTGAATCTGGCTTTGCGCTGCAAGTGAGAGGAACATGGTGGCAATAGTTTGCGAGCTGGAATGAGCAGAATACGTTGCCAAGTTTGTTAAATGTTGGGAGCCAGTATGTGATAAAGTCAAACTTCTCGCGATCGTTGAGCTTGAATTGAGTGAGTATCTTCTCAAGAAATTCACGGCCTTCGCCTTTCTTGACAAAGAAGCCCTTATCAAATTTCATTCTCATAGAGATATCACCTTCCCAATATAAGTATGGAATAACTTTGTTGTTGTGGATGAGATCGCCGTTTGGTTTAGCTGTTACATTCCAGTATGTGCCCGCTGTAAACTCTGGAACAACTGTTGTAAAGTTCTCCCTTTCCATGCTGACACCAACTGTAAGATCCATCTCCTTTGTTGGATATAAATAAATCGCAGGTTTCATGATATGAACTTGCAATGGTTTATAAGTGTAATCCGAATAATTTCTTTTTATAAGGTCTGGAGACCAATAGGCGTTGCCTGTTGGTTTTATTTGGCAGCGTAGCTTATTGTGTGGTTTGTATGGTTGGTATGGACGAGGTTTTGGATATGAATGATGACGACTTCGGGCCTCTGAGAGGGCAACAAACAAAAACATTAATGAAATAAAATTTCTTTCAAATTTGTTAGTCATACTGACAATCAAAATTCAATATTCCTTTCAATAAGAACGTCATTTGACATTTTTGCCAACTTGTTGATTTTTGAGCACCAAAGATTATACAGTATTATCTTTAGTGCAACATAGGTTATTTTTTGATGATCCCCTTGATTAAATGCTTTCTAATCCTTAATTTCTAAGATTCCAATATTATTGTCTGTTGTTAGATCTAGACTTCGTGTTGTCTCATCTATTGTTGGCTTTCTTTCTTGCTTATATCCTTCGATGCTATCACAGCCTTTGATAATAATTTTTTATAAAGTCAATACTTTGTATAAACTTTGAGACTGAAATAAATAATCTCACGAACTCCAATGTAATGTATTTGCTTTATAAAATTTTGCTTAAATATCAATGTAGTTTTCAAAATATGATTTTTGGTATTGTAAGAATAGCTGCATCTTTAAGTTTTGTACCCACTAAATATGTATGTATTAATTTTTGGTCACTCTCAAGAAAAGAAAAGCGTATAACAAGATATATATTGATCAATTATCTGAATTGATGCAGTCAACCTTCACATTAAACACAATTTTTTATTTTAACAGTTCTGATATAATATTATGATTTGATAAAGTATGCTCATATAAAATATTAAATTGGTAAAGAAGAATTGGAATTACTTCAAGCAGAAATCTTCTTTCCAAGTTTGTAAATGCCAATTTGTTGCAAGAATATAAGGATTGGTGCAAATAAACCCTAAAAGTTAGAATGATTTTTTTTTGACAAATATTTTATATGGAAAATGATTTTAATGAAATCCTAAATGAATTAAAGCGTGTTATCTCTCTCAATGAAAACAAGGCTTCCCAAGAATACATAGACTTCCAAAATAAGATTCTCTTAAACACAGATTACATTTTCTCTTGTGTTAGTAACTTTAATTCATTATCAAGCGATGCAGAGATATCAACTATTTTATCAATAGTTACTTGTCATATTAGAACAAGTTTTGCTGAATTAAATCAAGATCAATTATTGGAATTATACAACCTTGCATTTGGAACATGCGTTCAACGATGGAATACATTCGACAATGAATCAAAAAACAAATCTGCCACGCTTCAAGCTCAAATGTGCTACAGATTATATCCAGAGTATAAACCCGATTTTATTGATTTAATTCAAACATTGGAACCAAGAGAACTTAAATTTAAGATCATGCGAGAATTTACAAATATCATTTCCCTCTTAGATCCATTGAATTTTCAGATCACCAATAATTTAAAGAAATATTTAGTTGAAAACGACTTAAACAAGATCTTACAGATTATTTACGAAGGGTTAGTTGCAGAAAATGTTGATTCCTTTTTTGCATTATCCTATTTATCGTTTGCAGTCTCTCCTGATTGGGTAACAAACAATGACATCGTTGGCGCATTCGGTAATGCCATACAAAACGCGGAACTTTGTCCTCCTTACATTTCAGTTTTAACATCTTTGATAGAATCACCGATAAACCAATATAGAAATGATATTTTCAATTCATTTGCTATCCCTGATGTCCTTGCCTCCATTCTCGACAATAAACCGACCGAAGATATCTTAATTTCTGCAGCTCATTTACTAAATTCTTGTGGTCGACTTGTAGACCTAAACGAAGAGCAGACATTCGCTCTAATTGAACAATCACTTGCATTCCTTGATATTCCTTTGAACGAAGTCTCTCAAGAAGTTTTATCTTATATTAATAACTCAATATACGATCGTTCCCAGTACTGCGGCATATTTTTCCAACACCTTGCTGGAAGGCTTGTTGTTTACATCGAAAATAATCCTTTTCCGCTTATGTCGACATTATATTCCAATTTTCTAAGGTCTATCACAAATTGCTTCAGAGAAAATGCAAATGATACTATGCAAGAGTGTACCGCTTTCTTTTTCGAAGACGGACAGCTTTTAGAAAGTATTCCGAAATTATCTGCCCTTTTGTCAATTTTGACCGACCAAATATCACTTAGAATATGTATTGAAGACTTTATGAAGTTGATTGACACGATTTTTTACTCTATAATTGAATTTTTACAGGGAATTCAGAGTTTAAAGGAAAAAGACAGTTTTCCTTTGATATATACATTCTTTAAGCTCATGGATACATTCATACAACACTGCGAATCATTTTTCATGGAAAATGACAGATCTACAAGAATATTCCAAACATTAATGAATTTATTAGTACTCGAACAGGACAGTGACATGAAGCAGAAGCTCCTTGGCCTACTCTTCCAGCTTTCTAAGTCAAGAGCAACGAAATCTGGTCAATTAAACCTGGCAGAAGATGATTTAAAGAATATGATTCTGTATTTTAGCACTCCTGAAGTACTCAGATCTGTTTCGTTCCTCATAACGAAGTTTGACAATGAAATTTACCAAAATTTAATCGAAGAAATCGTGAACCACTTCGAATCAACGAAAACCGAAGAGAATAATGTCGAATACTCACTGTTACAAGCATATTTCATCAGCTGTTTGCAGCCAGGAACGTTTCCATACAAAGAACAGTTTATAATGGATTTTATATTGCGTCAAATGCAAATATACGAAGATAATATTACTGTTTACAAGAGGTATGTTGAGTGCTTGCCGATTCTTGGTGTTAATTCCTTTGAAATTTTCAAAAATATTCTTGAAACGAAAGATATCTCGCAATTTCTCTCTGAAAGCATCTTCTGTGCAAGGTGCTACCTGAAGATAAATCAGCAGCTCCTAAATGTCACCGATGCATACGCAGGAGGCATCAGTGATATAAATTGGGTCAGAAACTTTACAGAAATTTTTGTTCAGAAATTTTCAGAACTAATGGGTAATTTTCAGAAGTTTATTTTTTCAAAGGAAATGTATTCAAATTTGTATACAACAGTTAATCAGATAAATGGTTTTCTTGTTCAATTCAATCAGATTACAGATGAAGAATTTTTGGCTTTAATTGGTATTTTTAAGTTTTTATTCATCAAATCATATAATACCAAGCAAATTCTTCAGTCTTGTCTCTCAATCCTGAATTTATCTGTTAAGGATCCAAAGAAATCTGATTGGATAATTACTGAGATGACTCCATTCACGTTTTCCTTCATTTTCGGATCGAAATTTGATCCAAATAAGCAAGAATTCGAAGTTTTCTTGCAGGAGTTTGTTTTTAAGACTCATGACTTGTTCTTAAAGATCAATCCTGAGTTATTTAAAGAAGTACTCAACAAGTTCTTTGCAGAGTTTGGTTGTCCTGAAGATTTCGCACAAGAATACGTCCAAGTGCTTCAAATTGAGAAGAAGATGGTTTGGCCAAAATTAAGAGTATTTTATCTGAAATTGATGAGTTACAGATGTTCTGAATCATTGCCAAACGGATTATCTTATTAGAAATGAATGTTATTTTATATATTTTTGTTATATATTAAAAAGGTTGATGATATAACTTTTAATTATAATTTTTTAATAATCTTCTACAACGTATGCCTTTTGGACCGCACAAACTATTCGCTCTAATTCGATATAACAGCAAAGAATCATTCCTAAATTTTATTCAAGCTTCAAACTAGAAGCTACTAAACTACTTATTGCATGTGCAGATTATGGGAGCTATCGTATTTGCATAGGAAATGTAAACTACTCAAAAATTGATAGGAACGCCTTTTGATTATTTTTGTTTTTAATGCCGAAAAGCATTTGAATCAAAAGTAATCGTATGGTAGAGAATTATGTATTTATCGTTTTGAAAAATTTTGATCAAATTTTACTTATCGTTCAATTCACTTCATTTTTCATGAAAGCAGTTTTATCCGACTTTTCCGAAGCCATAAAACTTATTGAAGATAACAAATGGGATGACTTCATCAAATATGCCATTGATGAAAGAAATAATGCAATAATTACCCAAATTTTGGCGAATTCAAAATATGAAAATCTTTTAATTCAACAAATGACGAAAGAACAACTACTCGAATATCTTGGAAATGTAAAGAATTCCACAAATATAATGAAACGGATATCAAAAATCGCAGATTCTGATTCAAAATTTACTGAAGTAGCAAAACAATTAGTTTTGAATCCATACAAGGCACAATATACTAATACTTTAAGTTATTCCATATCAAGTTTACCAATTGATATGATAAAAACTATAATAAGCTCAAGAGTTACAAATTCCGAAATTAAAGATGTTGCCACACTTGGATCAATCATCAAAATACATTTAGATGGAAAACACAATTTCAAACTGATACAAGAGCGTGATTCTAATGATGTCAAGAAGATTTCAATTGAAATCACAAGAAAAAGTGTTTTAAATGCATTTCTTGATCATTTATCTGATGTTTTAGATTACATACAAACACTTAATAACAAATCCTCTCTTATTCGGTCACTTCTTTCTTTTCCAATAGAAAATATCTCAAATTGTATTAACAAACGTATCATGGATGATGAAATGAAAGCCAAATTAACAAAGATATTCATTGATTTCCCAGTCCACAAAGTTTTCCCTGAATTACCAGCAAAATTAATTAATTTTGGTGATATAGATTCTCAAAATCAATTAGAAAGGATGATAAGCAAATTTTCATCAATTATAAAACAACCAACATTGTATCAATTATTCAAAAAAGCTGTTGATGCGAAACATCCTGATTTCATCAAATATATTTCGCAAAATCTATTCAAAAGTGAGGTCTACATATATATCAGAGCATTAAATAGTCAAGATGGTGTTTTTGACAAGTTATTTGAGTTTGCAATCCAACAATCAGTTGAAGATTTCATTCAAACAGGAGAATCAAAATCATTTAATTATGTTTGCGGAGTTATTTTTAATCATACAAAAATGTATCTAAAATATGATGAAATTGTAAAATTTATAAATGAAGTTTGCAAGCGAGTTATTGAATTAAAAGAGTCATTGTTAACAAATACCAACAAATATCCATCATTTTGTTTGCAAATTATCAAAGTTTTGTTGAATCCAAATGACAGGAAAATCAGTAATTTTGTTAATAGTGAATTCAAGACACCTTTTGAATTACTTGATAAAGATATAAGAAATTCTATTGTTGTTGGAGCAATAAAACATCCAACTGATGACAAGAAGTTTTCAGATTTCATTTCAAGCCATGAATGCACATATTTATTTGGTTTGATATGCAAATTAAATTCAATATTTGATATCCATCTTGTTCTTTCTGAATCAAAGAAATCTTCAATTGACAAATACTCAATGATGAATGGAAAATTACCTGTTTATCCTAATCCAATTCCTTGCAAAATGTCAATTGTTGAAGTTTTCCTTCAAATGTCCAATTTCTGGCTTTCAGATTCTGATAAACTTGTAAGAGAAGGTTATCTTTGTTATCAACTCTTAGCCAAAAAATTTGTAAATGAAAGTTTGAAATCAGATGACAAAGAATTCAAAGAAATTGCAGCATTAGTTTATCAAAGATTCTTGACTTATTTGTTTGGATTAAGAGATGCGAAGAATCTTCAATTCAGAGCTGATCTTTTCTCAGATGCTGCAATTTATCCACCTTTTATTTCATTGATTAATGAAATTGATCCGGAATATCCAATTAATCTATGCAAGACTAACATAAATAATGCTCCAACATTAGTTAAAATGCAGATACTCCAGAGATTATTGATGTCAAGCCATTATGAAAACTCAAAAATTGATGCTGTTTATGGAAAGATTTCAAATCAAATTTTGCAAATGCTGATGGAATCTCCACTTAATAAATTTGATATCAATGGTAATTTTAACGTTAATTGGCCCGAAATATTCGATTACGATTGGAAAGAACTTGAGAAAAAGTTTTTGAATGCATCAAATATTGATGTTCCTGATTATTGCAATGTATTAATTAATGATGATGTTGTTGATTTTCATATGTTAATACCAGATGTTGAACTTGAGAAATTTAAGACAAACTTCACACCAAACTATTTTGTTTATTACGAAATTGTTCAGAAATTGTATCAATTCGTAATTACAAAGAAATATGTTAAAAAGAAAATTGATGAAACAACAGAAATGTTCATGAATTTTCAAGAATTTTTGATAAAGAACAGTTCTAAAATTCTTTCAGAAACAATTACATTGGATTTACTTCCAGCAAATTCTGAATACAATTATTATTCAATTAAACTTTATTATCATCCTGCTTTCTTCCCAATGATTAATGAATTGCACAAAGATTATGTATTAGATTTCAAATGCATTGATTATTTGTTCAATTTTGATTTCAAAGAAGGAAAGTTAAATGATGATGTAAAATTTGAGGGATTTCCATTTACAATTAGTTTTGATAAGAACATTTCACAGAATAACTTAGACGCCAAGTATCAAAAAGAACAAGAAATCAAACGTAAAATTTATGATGATTTCAAATCACATCAAAAATCATTCAATCAAATAACAAATAAATCTGCTTCATTAGAAAAGAATTTGAAGAACATCATGAAAAATGACAAAATCACGTTTGTTATTGAGAAAAACACTAATAAACTTGAAAAAGAAAAGACGCAGCAAATTTATTTTGTTCCACGCCAGGTTCTGCAAGTTATAAAGGCATTTGACAAATGTGATAGTGAATTGTTCGTCAAATCAGCCAAATGCTTAATGACATTCCAATCAAATGAGATATTAATTCGTTATGGAAAATTCAATGAAAACTGTTCATTTTTCACTTCAATTTTGAATTTACTTTTAGTTGAGATCACCGGCAAAAATGTTTCTCTTGATTTATCAAAAGAAGGATTGGGATTCTCTGAACTCTTAGATATCTGCAATTCCATTGCTCAAATTTGTAGCTGGAATCTTGGAGATTTACCAAATTTGGAACTTTTGCAATTATTGAATTTGCAAACATGTCATCAGAGATTTAGAACAAATGCAAATAGTGTTTTCCAATCGATATTGATGTCAAATAACATCCAGAATATCATCAAATGCTTCCAATGCCACTTGTTTAGTGAATTATTCTTCGAATCTACAACAAGTTTATCTGATGTTTACAAGAACATAGTTGAATATATTCTTAAAAACAAGGAAACAACAGATATTCAAATAATTAAAGATGAATATTTGGCAAAACTTGCAATTGTAGCTTTAGATATGGAATTTCCAAAATGCGACAAATACTTGACACCTTATTTGCAATTTATTTCAGAAAGATCATTAATTTGCAAGAGAAGTGCTGTTGCAAATGCAATTTACTATACAAAACTTTGTAGAATGTATGATTACGAAATTCCTAATTTCGATGATATTTTAAGGAAATCATTTACAAAGTTTGAAGATGAAATGACAATATTTTACTGTCTATTGATCAATTATGATAAAACTCTTGAAATAATGAACAAGAAATCAGTCTTTGCTCCATTATCAGTTATGAGTTGCCGTCCAGAATATTACCTTAATAATTCATCATTCAGAAAGATCGAAATTGGCAAAGAAAATACAGATTTATACAGCAAAATCATTGATGAATTTCTTTTGAAAGGTTTGTTGAGCCACACACCACACATTGTTGAATTAATTGTCAGTCTTTTGTCATTCATTGAGTTGAGTAATGATCACATGAAACAAATAATTTCGAACTATGTTGATGAAGGATTGAAGAACATAAATGTTGCCGAAAACAAAGAAGAATTCATCAAATTTGCAACAATTTTTGTTTCAAAGCATTTCAAAGAATATGAAAATTGCTTCAAATCATTCGAGGAAACACTTTCAAAAATCAAACAATATTCACTGCGAGCAATTAAAGAAGAATCAAGTAAAATTAAGATGAATAAGAAATATGTTCCAGAACAATCTCAGAAAATCAAAAATATCTATAATACTATTTCGAATGTTTTGGAAGAAATCTTTATCAAATTCGAAAATAAAAGTGAGATGAAGTCAACATCTGAATTTTGTCGTCAGATTTTACAACCGTTAACGGATTCAAAACCGTTTGGAAACTTGAGGTCATTCAATGAATTATTGAGCAAAGTGAAGTTATTTGGTGATGTCAATTTCGAGAAATGCTGCACTGAAAATCAAGATCAACTTAAATATCTGATTTTGTGTTTGCAAAACAACAACGATGTCGGAACAATTGATTACAAAGTTGTTTCTAATATATTTGAGATATTGAAGGCAGAATTTAATGAAGAGCACACATTATTATTGTCAAAATTACCAAATGAATACAAATATAACAAGTTTTATTGCAATTTGTTCAAGAAATCACTTTCAGAAAACATCCCAGATGTTGATGATGAAAAATTGGCAGAAATTTTGTCGGATTTAGGTGATTTATTATTATCTGATGAAACAGAAGAAATGACCAACTTAATAAACAACGAGGAACAAGATTATCAAGTACAAGCTAGGGAAGCTCTCTCTAATTATATGCCTCCAGGTAACTTGTGTCAGCAATCATATCAACAATGCCCTCCAATGCAACAACAAATCCCAATGCATCAGCCAATCAATCAATCATATCTTCGAATGCAAAGAGCACGTTCAAATATGAAACAGGAATTGAGAAATGATAGAGAACCAGTTGAAAATGCTGGTGAAGAAGAAAAAATTGAACATGGTCAAATGTTTAAACTCTTCCTTTAATTTTTTAACTAAATAAAACTTTTTTTAATATATATCAATGACTCATATAGTTTTTTGAACATATACTTACATGTTTAAAATACCGAGTGACAAAAGCTAATTTCAAATTATCTTAGCTTTTGTTTCCAGAACTGCGTACTTCTGAACTCTATCCGCCTTCCGTCAATTGTTGTCAGCATCGGCGACATTGGTATTGACGGCACCAATCTCGTCAACATCAGCCAGCATGCCTTTTACTTAAGCAGTGTTTCATCATGTCTTAAACCAACATTCGAAAGCATCGACAAGTACGCATTCAAGGAGAGCAATTTAACACCTCTTACAATTTCGTGCAACACTATCGAATATGAGTATTTCAATTCATGCATTAATCTTGAGGCTGTTTTTATGCGAGATGATATTCAGAATGTTATACATAGCTGTTCAATTAATTAAAACTATTAAAGTATAGTAAGTGAAGTTAGTTTTAAATCAATTAAAAAAATAATTTAAAAATATTATATAATATAACAAAGATTTACTAACAAAATTAAACACAAATGATTACATCATGATGCCAATGAGTTGTATAAGTTCTGGGATTCCTCGTATTCTGAAACAAGCCAAGGATTATTACAAATATCGCTTGCAGTCATTCTTTGGTCAGGGTTCTTTTCAAGGAGTCCTGCAATGACATCTTTAAGTTCCTGAGGTATTGATGGAACCTCTGGAAAAGTTAGATCTCCTAAATCTAAACTTTTTGAGACATTTTTAACGTAGTTCTGCTCTACTTGGACAAGACCACGCTCTAGCTTGTATGGATAGCATCCGAAAAGTAATACGTAAACTGTAACGCCAAGACTCCACAAATCTGGTGGTCTTGGCTTGTATAAAGTCGGAGAGACTTCGGGAGCCATGAAAATGGGGGATCCTGTATATCCTGTAAGTAATTCATCATCTGATTTGAGGACTGCTGATACAGAATAATCACATAAAACATAATTTCCGTCCAAAAGTAGAATATTTTGTGGTTTTATATCTCTATGAACTATTCTATGGGAGTGCATGTATTGAAGACCATTTCCTATTTGGTAAACAAGCTGTATTGCCCCAGAAATTGAAATTTCTGGTTTATTAGATGGTTGAAGAGCGCCATGCTGAGCAAGTGGCATAGTAACGATAAAATCACCTGTTACTGATTTGAAATGTGAAAAAACTTTCAAGCAATAGTCGTTATCAAGCATTTTTGCAATTTCTACTTCTAAAGGTATGCCATCGCGAAGATTATTAACTTTCTTGTATCTTTTAAGGGCAACTGATATGCCTTCGTCATTTTTAATTGCTTCATAAACAGCAGCTTCTGCACCATCACCAATTCTGCGTATAATTGAATATCCTTCGATTTCTTCGTCTGCTGATTGAAAATATGATTGTGATTGCTTTGTATTTTTCGTGTTTATATCTTCACATAATGAAGAAGCAAATTCATCGCAAAAACGATTAATTGGATTTGAAACAACTGCAAGAAGGGGGTGCTCGGAGCCGTTAACTCCCATAACACTCCCTTCTTCTATCTTTGAACTGCTTATTCCCAAAACAAAAAAACCGGAAAAAAGTGCTTTCTTGTAAAGAAAAGTGTCAAAGATTTTAGAAAGAAATTTTCAAAAAACCAAACAAAGGTTTAATGATCTGAAGATTTCGGACCTTAAATTTGTATATTTAAGGGAAACTTCACATACTGGTGTTAGTTTTCTTTATTTCGATTTAGAATATTAGCTAATCATCTCAATATTTATATGACATTTTAAGAATAACTTAATCTCCACGCAGACTCTAGATGATGCCATTTATAATTATTAATATTTAAATGAAAAATATAAAAATTCTTAAACAAGTTAGAATATAATGTCTCATATTCAGATTGTAAATGACATGGTCTAGAATCTGAGCTGAAACTAAGTTATTCAGACGTAATAGCCATGAAAAATAATTTTATAAAATTGCAAAAAAGAAAAATATAATGAGATTAGGATTTGATAGCCATAATTTGGCTATCTTTAGAATATAAACATGTTTATTTCTATTACATTAATAAAAACATACAAAAATACGCTAATTTTTTGTTAAATTGGTCAATAATTCATCTTCTTCTATTATACTATTGCTAATTACAAGTTCTATTTGTAATTTAGCTTTTAAAATTTAAATTCAAAATTTTTCAAACAGAATTCTGTTTTTGGAACACTGGCCTTATACAAGATTTAACAGATAACATTCTATTCACTTTATCTGCTGTATAAATGTTACTTAAAATTTTTGCATAATAATTCTTTTCTGATCTACGAATGAAGTCATTTTTAGCTAGAGTCTTTACCATTTCTTTCTGTTCTTCGAGTATTTTGTTGTAAACAGGTGTTTCTTCTAAATAAATTTTCTTAATTTCATTCATTATAAATTTATTGTTGGCTGCATCCTTTACATCAGCTACTTCGAACACAACTCGAACATTATTGCATGGAAGAGGTTCGTACTTTGATAAAGAAAATCTTGTCTGTAAAATATGTTTATAAGTATCTATTAGCCTCGGATTATTAAAATTACATAGTATTTCTTCGAATTTGAATATGCTTTCGGATATAATGTATTCTAGATCTGTCATATCATCATCATGTTTCCATAGTTTATCAAAATATGTATTTAAATGATGATGTTGTAACATATTCATGATTGTATTCTGAAAATTTTGTATTAAATATTGTAATTCATCTTTGTCGTAAACTGATTCTAATTTTATCGCAATTGTCTTTGAATCTATTGATATTGGTCTAATTTTTCGATCTGCATCTGTGTTCCATAATCCTCCTCCGAGAATTTCTCGATTAAATTTCAAATAGATTCTATCGCAATTATTTGCTGCTGCAGTAGTTTGATATAAGCTCATATCGCCCATTTTGACTATATACCACCCTTTGTTCGGATTGAGATTGATGTCATTACCGTTTTTTACGCCCCAAATTTGAAATTTATAATATGAACTTGGTTTCATGTTTGTTAAATCAAGGAGAACGGCGTTTGTACTTATTTTACATCTAGCTTTAGTGCAGAAATTATGATCTAATATTATAGGTTCATCATTAGACATAAATAAACAATTAAAAAAAATCCACACAATGGGGGAAAAATGACTTTTTTCCATTTCAGAAAAAAAATTACATATAGTTTTTGATTCCAATAAATTTGAGTATTAAAATTATTATAAAAATTCTTTCCGACTTTTTCAAAATTTGAGCACTAAAAGTCAAGCAAATTTGCTAATTTTTAATCTCTTTTTTAAAATATGACGTTTCTGGCTAATTTTCAGCGAATTAAAAAAAAATCATTTGAAATCGAAGATACAGTGACTTGTATTTTGATATAAAATATCAATTTTCATACAAAAAACACAAAAATGCACATCAAATTTTTTTGAAATCACGAAATAATTATACAAAAAATGTTAAAATTCATATAAATTTTGAATTTTTAAAAAAAATTTTAGAAATTCTAATTCTGATTTTAAACCAAATCTATTAATGAAACAAGAAGAAGGAAGTATAATTCACTCCAAAAATAGTCATTCAAAATATATTTCCAAATATTCAAATTTGAAACTCACTAATTTTCGTTCGCCAATTGTGAAAATCTCAATTTATAAGTGTATTACTTTAGTACAGAGTTCTTCCGAAGCTTCTCATTGAATGAGAGACTTCGTAAGAGTATTGTCCATGCAGAAGTGGTTCACTCAAAAAAAAAGTCATATTCTATCTGAATTTTGGCCATAAAAAAATAAACATCATATCATTGCTATTCTTATTTGATAACATTTGTTTGAGTAACGAAAGGTTATTTTTTTTTTCAAATGCTCAATCTGAGATCTCAACAATTCCTTGAAGAATCGACACAGCGAATTGACACATTAAGCTTTTTGCTCTCAGATGCATTTAACAAAGCTGCGAAGTTCTCAGAGCAAGCAAATCTTTCTCATCAATCAATTATTGCTTCACAAAAAGCTATTGGGTACACAAAAGACTGCACCATATTCAAAAAGACACAACCAGAATTAGCAACTTCTTCTGACATCATTTTGTCCAAGATAAAACAGTATGAAACATCAAAAATACTAGATTCAGACGTTAATTCAAAACTCCATGTAGCATTTTGCTATATAGCTATTTGTGATTACGTTAGTGCTTACAAAATCATTGATGCAATTAGTTTAAATTTAATTCTTCAAAATTCATATCATGCGCTTATAATCGGCTCTTTATATCAATATTTTGAGTTTCACGACAAGTCATTAGCATATTTTACGAGTTGTGACCCTCAAACTATGGAAACCGAGTACATTTTTGAATTATTTTTCAGATTCTCGATTTCATATCGTGCGTTACGTTGTGCAAATGAATGCATCCAATGTATACAAAAACTTTACGAATTTATTCCAAATTATCTTAAAAAATTTGATATCGACTTAATTTTAGCTTCTGCATATCAAGACTTTGGCGATTACACTCAGGCGAACTCAATTTACGCACAGCTTTACACAATGTTCCCTGAAAACACGAATGTACTTCAATCTTATCTTTGGTGCTTATATTTGGATGCAAAGTCAACCAGGAACTTTGACAAAGTTGCAGAACTCGCGAAGTATGTTTCCGAGAAATTTCCAACAGTTGTTCCGTTGAATTTAATTTGCGGAAGAATTTTCTTGACGATGAACAACAATCCATCAGCATACAACTGCTTTACACGTTGTATCAAAGATATGTGCTCTTCTCCGTACTTTTGGTGCATGCTTGGCACTATTTACTTCAAAAACGAACAATTCGATGACAGTATCATCGCCTACCGGAGATCTTTGTTCTTAAATATTACTTGTGCGGAAGCTTGGTATAACCTTGTCCTTAATTCAATCAAAAAAGGTGAAAAAGAATCAACAGAAAATTTGATCGGAAATGCTCGAGGAAGTTGCCCTGATATTGTACCTACGTTAGAGGCATTGGTACAGAATTCACAGGCAATGCTCATGGATATCGACGAATCAAAGCTTTTGTCACTTCCTTCAGATTATTTGGTTCGATCAATTTTAGACCCTTTGCCTCAAATATTGCCTTCGGATTTGGGACTTCCTGACAGCACTGTTCTACATTTACAAGTCAGGGATGTTCAATCTTTATTTTAATTTTATTTTTAATTCTTATTGTATTTTATTTTTGTGTTTTATTGTTAGTTTTATTAAAGTTATCCAAGCCTGTTTTTGTTACATTATTTCTTTTATTGTTTTTCCAACTCTTAATTTTTTTTTATTTCCTTGATGACTAATTTCTTCATGAAAAATTATCATTCCTTTATTAATAAAACATAATCTAGAATGGGCATATGATAGATAACTCATTTATTATCTAAACAAATGACTTCATGTTTTATCAAACCTTTTCTAAACATGTTAAATTTAAGATTTTTTCATCTCATCTGGAGTTACAAAAAGTAAAAATTCGATTTTGAATTTATATTAAAAACGAGTTTTAGTATTTGAAACAATTTTTATTAGTATAATACATTATTTTCCACGTAAAATTATGCCTTTTCATTGAACATTCAATTGAAATCAAATGCAAAAATAGGATTTATCAAATCGTTTCTATGATAAAATGATTTCTGAGTCTATTGAAGAATAATGGCTATGTGAAAAGCAATCAAATCGCAGTACTTTTGAAGTAGTAGGATATGAAGGGTTGTGTGACTTTTTTTGTTACATCTATATATAGACGATGCATTAAAATATATTTATTTATAAATCATTAAAAAATTAACATTAATTTTAAAATAATTTTTTTTATCTTTTATAAAAGAAGCTATATATAGATGATGTCAGATATTCCGTGATTAATTAATTATTTTTGAAGAACTGAAAGTGTCACCACGTCACCATGTCACCAGGTTAATTAACTTCTCTTAAAAATGATGACAACATGACATTTTGACAACAGGTACGAAAGGAGGTATAAATATAATGGAGTCATAATCAAAGACCTCATAAACGAGAAAAAGAATTTGATGAGTTCAACATTGAACTTTAAGAAACTAATGATTATTTGAATTTATGAAATCAATTATTTGATTCATTCTTTCTTCAATCTCTTCTATTCTTTTTGTTAAATCATCAATTTTCATTAATGAGGTGATTCTTGATTGAGGAATAGATTTCAAACTAACCACCCCCTTTATTTTTGAAATTTTGAATCCATCAACTTTAAACATTTTATTCAATTTACATGTTGTCAATTCTTCAAATAATTTTTTATTATTAGCATAATAGTCATTAAATTCTTCAACAGATGAAAAAATTTTTATTTCAGTAATTGGTTTAACAACGTTTATTTTTTGTTGAACATTTTCACTTTCATTTATTTCTTCCTCCTCTGTTTCATTTATTTTTAAAATCGGTTTCATTTATCATTAAATAAAAATTAGAATATAAGTGATGAAATATATTTTTTTAATTAATATTAAATCAGAAATGGCGGCAGGATTCTTTAAAAAATTATGGGATGGAATTAAGAAAGCTGCGGGTTGGGTTCATAAAAGATTATTAAACCCATTGCAAACTTTTTGGCACCAGTAGCGAAAACGGCAGGAACTATCATAGGTGGAGTATTAGGTACTAAAGCAGGTAATCCGGCGATGGGAGCACAAGCAGGTAACGCAATTGGTGGAATAGCTGAAGGAATACTTAATAAAATAGGAGGTAGATAGTGGAAAAATAAATAAATATTATTTTTATCTTAGTATCGGTTGAAGTCTTTGATAAACTTTTTCTCCTTTATTTAAAACTTCTCTTATTGGGGCAGCTTTTGGTGTTATTGATTCAGCAACGTCACTAATTGCTTCTTTATTCTTAAATATCCAATTTGCTCCCTTCTTCAATGTTTCCCAAACTTTACTCGCTCCTCTTTTTACTTTATCCCACAGTTTCTTAAATATACCTGCAGCCATAGTTGATTATTTCATTAAAATTAAAAATTCATTTTCATCTTTTAATTTTGATTTTTTATTTATTAATAAATGACGACTAACTATTTGGTGCCAAACACTAAACCGATTAATGGAAATGTGTTTCATTCATTCGAAAAGATAAATGAAATATTCGCAAAGAATGACGGTAGAAGATATTATAGAGAACTTGAAAGTTCATGCTATGACTCTGATGCTCCATATTTTGATGATAAACAAACTCATTTAAGAATTACAAATCCGGCTCATGATGTGAACCAATTAGGTGACACATATATTAAACGCAAAGTTAAAGCAACTCTAGTTTCAAATAAAGCTTTCACATGTGATGCCGCTTTTAAATGCATGCGTTTATTCGTTGGTTACAAATCATCAAATCAAAGCTTTAAACAATTAGAAGTAGAAACCGAAAGAGGTGATGCCGGTTATCTTCAGATGGATTGCGCCCGTGAATCTTTCGCATTTGCAACATATAAACCAAAATCAGAAAGGAAAGTTAAAAAGTTTGTTCATTCGTTATATAATAATGTTCAAAAATATGATAACTCAGTATGTGGTAAATATATTGACCCTTCAGAAGTTTTCAAGAAAGCAAATGAAGAAGTTGATGTCACTTTTGATATGATTATTCCGGTAAATGATTTGTTAGCATTTCAGGCGTTCGATGATTATCCTAAATCATTTGGTGATATCATTCTTAAATATTATGTTTTCAGGGATACTTTAGTATTTTGTCAGGTTGACCCGTTAAGAGTTGCTGATTTACAAAATTACGTTTATGAAAAGATAACTGATGAAAATTATGAAAAGATTATGAATCATGTTTATAAATATGATCGCAAATTCCAACAAATCGGACTTCCTACCAAATTAATTACAAGCTTAGCCGCTACATCTGCTGACGCAACAGTTGATGACGTTATTATTTCATGCACAAAGATGGAAGTTTTAGAGGATAAATGCATTACACCAGGATACGGTTTAATTGAAGAATCAGTTAAAGCAATACCACGTTTATTTAGTAAGGAAGATCCATTCATGATTCCAGCTCAACATATTGACGTTCGTTCACTAAATGGAGGTTGCATCACTCCTGAAGGTATTAGCTCAGATTTCTCATACGCTCTTCATAATGTTACAGATGTTGTGTTAACATTTCCGAAGAATGCAATGCAAAGAACGGTTTTAGAAAATCCAATGCTTCGAGGTCTTCAGGTCACTATAGATTCCAGAAACTTCCCCGATCAAGCGATGACCACAGTGGGCGACATATTCTTTACACGTATGCTTCAAGCTTCTGATTTAGATGGAGTGAATGAATGCACAGAAGAATACGAGGACTCATTAACTAGACCACTGAATGCAGATGATGGCACACCATTAGCTAGAACATGGAAAGACCAAACTTCATTCTTATGCACTATTCCAGTTCAACGTGATGGAGCGGGTATATTCTTTGATGGATTAGAAACTTTCAACTCACAAGTTACAGTACAAGTGAAAGCTTATCCAATCATTCAGGGTGAAAATGACACTTACTGTTCAAAGGTGACAAATCCTCCTCAGGTTTGGTTTACTAGGACTACATATTGGACATGGACACCGGACGAAGGTTTGAAATATCATCCAACAGGTACACCACCACAGTATAGAAGTTCATATGATGAAATATTGATGAATAGAAATGTTTAAAATTATAAATTTATTTTTGATTAAATGGATTTAAATTCATCCACCCCTTATGAAGAATTAGCGGGAGTATATAATACATACGTAGATGATATGATTAATGAAGCATTGAGTGATAATAGAAATGCTCTATCTAAGGAAAAATTAATGAAAATTCCATATTGAATGTTACTTAAATTCAATCACTGAGCAATTGGTAAAATATAAAAAAACTTAACGATATTAAACAAATTATCATTATTGCTAACTTCCCCCTATTCACATGTGTTAATTTATATCAACGTTCAGGTTCCCTTCAGATGATACATTTGAATCTTTAAAGCATTTAATCAAAATTCCAATTATTTATTTATCACAAGAAGAAGCAGAAGATTATTTAAAAAATTTTTAATGTATAAAAATTATATACAATCGAAGCAAGGATTAGAGGATAAAATTATTGATAAACAACGAGATGAATTATTTGAAACACTTTCTATTTCAAATTTTGATAGAGATTTTTGCATTCACTCATTTCTAAGATGATGCAGTGAAATCAAAACTAATAACAAATGAGAAATCATATTTTAATCAGTTATTAACTCAATGTCGACACATTCAGTGTTCATCTTTTTATGGCTGTTCAATATTTCAAAGCATTAAGCACAAACATTAAATCAAATCTATCAACACTTTTCATTTTCAGTGGGTTTAGTCGTCAACAGTTGAACGTTTGCTTTATCAAGTGAATTTACCAATGAGCATTAATGAACTTTACACACAATATCAGCAATTAGGTGAACATGGAAAAATAATAGTTTGATTTAAATAAGGAAGTGTTAAATTTGATTAACTTTTTATAATTAATTTTTATTTTTATTTATAATTAAACATGACAGAAATGGCAAATCTTCTACAGGTTCCATTAAAACAAGGAACAAACAAAAAGGGTGCATATAATAGAACTATGAAAGTTCCTGATGGAATGAAAAATTAGTTCATATTGTTGCTGGTCTTCAAAAAGATGTTAAACAAATGAGAAACGTTTTAACATTACCAGAAGCTCAAGCATATGCCAAACGTCAAGGTCCAAATTGGGAAGCACACGAAGCAGACATTACGGGTCCAAATGGAAAACCTGATGGTATAAATGAAGTTTTCATTACTGATGGTCAAGGTAATATTAAAGTCATAAATGGTTACAAATTAACTATAACTGATTATCCTAAACGTAAAGCATATAATGAACGTTATCTATGCAATTTGATGAAAATGGAAAAGCTGTTAAACAATACATTGGAGAAGGTGGAAAATGGTCCAATTAATTCATACCGTCATAATCCATATTCTTATTTCAATGAAGAATTAAATGCTATTGAGGGACCAGATGGATTACCACGATATTCTAACCAGTTTGATGGTCAATTATGCAAATATTAGACCTGAATTCAGCTAAGAAATTCTTTAAAGTTGCTTTATTCGATCCAGTTTTCGCAAATGTTAAAGATGAACTTAAACATCAATTCAACCAATTATAGTAGCAAGAATTGCATCAGGTGCTTTATCTCAAGCATTCAAAGATTTAATTAAGAAACCATTATATCAGCAACGAGGTTTAACTTATGATTTAGTTAAGGAATTAGATAAAAGAAAATTTGAGAAATCAGATGATTATAAGAATGCAATTAATGAATATATTAGGTCTATTAATTACAATGAACCAGCTAAAAATCAACTTCAAGAACAAATACAGGGAATAATAGATTCAAAACTTCCAGCAAAATAAAAGTTTAAATATATTTTTTTTATTCGAATATAAATGAGAAGACGTTTCACTAGTCAAAAGAACACTAACGCAAAAGCAGAGATTACGGTTGGTTATAACGTAAATGATGATAAATCACGAATTATTCAAAATGTTAAAGTTAATGTTAGCCCTGAATTAACAAGGTCAGCAACTCAACCAATTTATTAACTCGTGACTTACCGAAAAAGGAGGAGGAGCAAAATAAAGAAGATGGAGACCCAATCATTTTATCTGAACCCGGTAAAGAACCTGCTGAAATTCCTACTTATCCAACATACCCCCACCTTTTCATCAAACATCGAGAACCCATATAAAATAGACATTAATTCTGAATTAATGAAAATTTACCGTGATATATAATTAATAATTATGATTCAATAATAAATTTAATTGACCAATCTGGTTTAATTATTTTTACCTTATGAATCATTAATTTACATTATCGCCATTCTTTGTGATGTTCAAGATTCAGACGTTAAGATTCAATTTTTCATAGATGATGAGGTTTCATGCTGCGGAACAGTTGCAAAAATAAATCCTATAAAGGATATTAGCACAATTAAGATATCAAAGAACGGAACAACAACTGAACTTCATTTAACATATAATGATATTTATAATAAAATAGTTGATGAATATAAAATATCACTTGAAAAATTCTTTGTTAAGGCTATTTAATATTCAAGCATTAACATTATCGAATAATAATCCTTTGAATCATAATCAATAATAATTGACCTTTCACCAGTTTTCTATCGTTTGTTTTATTTCTTTTGTTCCCCACTATCCGGATCGGTCATTGTAATTGTTTTTGTTATAGTATCAGCTTTATCTTTAACTTCAATCTTTTTTCCATCGGGATATTTAAACCAAAATTCCAAAAATTCGATATTGTCAATCTGTTCATATTTTAATCTATCAATTACATTTTTAATACCATCTGAAAATCTTATGAAATGGTCATTATATGGGTTTGATTGAACTAAATTTGAATGAAGTGAAATATAACCTGTTGATGAATATGACACTGACTCATATTTTCTGAAAAACACTAAAATTTATAACATGAATGAATTTCTTATTCGTTGAATTTATGAATTCTTGAGGTAATCTTATTCTAGTTTTATTTATCACTGGAAAATAACGCTTTACCATATTTTTAATCGTAATAAAAATGTCAATTATCAATATTATTTCGAATAATAGCTGTGAATTAAATTTAACAGTTAGCGGAATTTATAATGTTACTCTCGTTTCTGTGAGTGGTAAATTTAATCCCATTCTTTTAGACCCTTCAGATTATATATCATTTATTAAAGATGACTTGAAAAAACGTATGATATGTATATAAATAATGTGATAGCGAAATGGGATATTAACATGATTTTAAGTTATTTAAATGAATCATTTATCATATGGTATGAAGAAAATTTTAAATCAAAACCCGATAAACTTTTTGAACTTGATGAAATAAATAACCTTATTAAATTCCCGCTGAAAATTAAATTTTGTACTCCTCATCTTCGTTCATTGTTGGGGATATTAAATTTTGAAAAAGATGTTGGGGATGTTTTGTATTCTGACACTGGTTCCAATTTCATTTTAATCAAATGTGATAAAGTTAATACCCCAATGAGATTTTCACATCAAACATTAGACCCTAACTCTTACCCATCAATACAAAACATTTTATCCATCAACTTAAACACATTTTCTTTATCATATCCGTTTCAATTATCCGGGAATTCATTTATTCTTCATTCAAAAGATTTATCAAATATTAAATTTAAAATAACTGACCTATTTGATTGTGATTTAGAATTTATGAATGAAATATTATGGCAATTTCAAATAGAGAAAATAGCTGATGAGATAACGGATTAAATATTTATTTTTAAATCGTAATAAATGATTAAACAACAGCAACTTAAGGCGCAAAGCGCCCAGGTCCTTCAGAAAATTACATACGCCATATATGCATATAATTCAAAGACGGCAGAACAAACGCAAAGGTTGAAATATGGAGATTTGGAGATAGTATTGAAAAATGACCATTTCGAATTCGTTTGCAAAGGTGGTGCAGTGATATCAAATATAAAAGAAATTTTATTTATGAATTCAAAAATTAAAGGAATAACGGATGATATAACATCAATTCCACCAGAAGAACAGAGATATTACGCATTAAATGCATTTCCTAAAGTTTTGAAGATTGGAAGATTTAATTTAAATGAGGAATTCATAGAAGGTTTCCTAAACGACATAATGAAGAAGGTGGATAAGGAATATGTGGATAGTGAATTAAATAAGAAGGCAAATTTGGTTTATGTTGATGAAAAAGATAATGAAATTAAAGAAAAGGTTGAATGGTATCATGAATGGACATCGGAGACTTTTAAAGTTAAAGCTGATACAGGATGGGTTTCAGGATGTTTAGACCTTAAAGCAGATAAAACTTATGTTGATGAAAAAGATAATGAAATTAAAGAAAAGGTTGAATGGTATCATGAATGGACATCGGAGACTTTTAAAGTTAAAGCTGATACAGGATGGGTTTCAGGATGTTTAGACCTTAAAGCAGATAAAACTTATGTTGATGAAAATTATGCAAAGAAGTCGGAAGTAAATGATGTGATTACAAGCATGAAAAATGAAATACTTCAAACATTATATCCTGTTGGTTCTATTTATACGTCAATGAACTCAACAAATCCCGCAACAGTTCTGGGTTTTGGTACGTGGAAGCAGATTGTAGATAAATTCTTATACTGTGCTAGATATTCAAAGCAAACAGGAGGTTCGAAGAAAATTAAAGAAGCAAACCTTCCACCGCACACTCATACAGGAACGACAAACTTTTCTGGCGACCATAGCCACTCATTAAGAGACCACCCATTATACAACTCAGAGTATGAAGCTGGCAATGACGTTTTATCTCCATCTTATAACAATGCAGCAAAAAAGATTTTTCGACCAACTGAACCAGGAGGAAATCATGTCCATACTTTCACAACAAATCCAACAGGCTTGGGTAAAGATTACATGCCACCATTTGTGACTGTATTTGCATGGTACCGAATGAACTAAATATATTTTATGTCTGTAATTAATTAGGTAATGAAGTAATGGATGAACTGCAGAAATATATTTTATCGTTAATGGTTTTTAGGTTATTCAATAATTAATTATTTTTGAATAACTGAAGGTGTCACCACGTCACCATGTCACCAGGTTAATTAACTTCTCTTAAAATTACTGACAACATGACATTTTGACAACATTCCCGGAAATAAATTTTATCGTTTATGTTTACGTTAATGTTTTCATTAATTTTTTCGTAATGTTTTTAGGTTATTCAATAATTAATTATTTTTGAATAACTGAAGGTGTCACCACGATCACCATGTCACCAGGTTAATTAACTTCTCTTAAAATTACTGACAACATGACATTTTGACAACATTCCCGGAAATAAATTTTATCGTTTATGTTTACGTTAATGTTTTCATTAATTTTTTCGTAAATGTTTTTAGGTTATTCAATAATTAATTATTTTTGAATAACTGAAGGTGTCACCACGTCACCATGTCACCAGGTTAATTAACTTCTCTTAAAATTACTGACAACATGACATTTTGACAACATTCCCGGAAATAAATTTTATCGTTTATGTTTACGTTAATGTTTTCATTAATTTTTTCGTAAATGTTTTTAGGTTATTCAATAATTAATTATTTTTGAATAACTGAAGGTGTCACCACGTCACCATGTCACCAGGTTAATTAACTTCTCTTAAAATTACTGACAACATGACATTTTGACAACATTCCCGGAAATAAATTTTATCGTTTATGTTTACGTTAATGTTTTCATTAATTTTTTCGTAAATGTTTTTTAGGTTATTCAATAATTAATTATTTTTGAATAACTGAAGGTGTCACCACGTCACCATGTCACCAGGTTAATTAACTTCTCTTAAAATTACTGACAACATGACATTTTGACAACATTCCCGGAAATAAATTTTATCGTTTATGTTTACGTTAATGTTTTCATTAATTTTTTCGTAAATGTTTTTAGGTTATTCAATAATTAATTATTTTTGAATAACTGAAGGTGTCACCACGTCACCATGTCACCAGGTTAATTAACTTCTCTTAAAATTACTGACAACATGACATTTTGACAACAGTCCAGGAAATTTGATGCAGTCCAAAAATAAAGTTAGTTTTAAAATTATTTTTATTTTTTATTCCTATATAAATGACAGCAACAAACAACAACAGCAACTTTATCATTTCTGATGAAAAAGTTATTGATTCATTAGCTGAGGAATTAGTTGTGGCAGAAACTAAAACCCTCAACGAAAGAATTGGTGAAAACAAGATTGATTTGCATAACTACCTCAAACACGATGGAGGAAGAGGAAGGAAAACTGGTATGGCTTTATTAGTAAATAAAATTTCAAATTTAACGATTATAGATGTTGATATCAATAAATCGTACAATGATGAACTTAAAGAAACAGTTAGAAAAGATATTTTATCAAAACTTTCGGATAAAGATGTTATCGTTAAAACCGCTTCAGGAGGTCTTCACATTTATTGCAACACTAATTTCTTCTATTCAGTTTCGAACAGAATGATTAAATGTTATTCTTGCAATGATTATGATATTGACATAATGACTTCTATGGATGATTCAAAGCGTTCTTTAGTAGTTATGGCTGATTCAAGAGTTCGCAAGAATGCAACAGAACCAATCAATACATACTCATTCATTCGTGGAAGTTACGATTCAACATTAACCAGAACAGTGAATGATTTATTAAATGATTTGAATATTAAGGTAAGAGTTGAACAGAAGAATGAAGAAATAAAGACTATCATGAATGAAAACAAAGATGTAAACATTGACGATAAACTAGCTCAAAGCATAGTCGATGGTATTAGTGATTTTGAAGTACATAATGACGGTGGAAACATGAATTTAGAAAAAGAAGTTACATTATTCACACTGTTTCAAGCTATTAATTCGTTACCTAATCATTTAATTAATGAAGCATACGATAACGTTTATAACTTCTGCAATTTAACTGAAAATGCAAAAAGTAATTTTGAAAAAGCACGTAGTAGATATGCTCATTTAATGACTTCTCCATTTGTTTTAGTGAAGATTCTAAAACTATACCAAAAGGAATATTATGATGAATACGTTTTACCTTTATTGCGTAATCCAAAAATAACATTTGATATCAAACTTGATGACTCGTTTTTGATAACAGATATTAGACGCAAGGCTGAAAATCATCAGTATAAAAACAGTTCTGAAGTAATTGAGGATTTATCACGTGTAATCCGTTTTGTAGATTGTGGAAATAAATATTTCATTCAAAAGGACTATAATATCCACGACAAAATGAATCAAATATCATTCGTTCTTCAATCAAACATGAAAGAGTCACTCAAAATGATTAAATTATTTAAAGAAGAAGGTAAAACCATAACAGCATGGGACGTACTATTAAATCAATTGTCTTCATTAACCGTTAAGGGTGTTTGCTTTAAATCTGATTCTCCAGATGTTTTCTCAACGTTTCAGGGTTATAAATACAACGTTCTCGAAAAACCAGATTACTCAAAAATTGAGATGTTTATGAATTTCATTAAAGAAGCCATTTGTGATAATAACGATGAAGTGTATAAATACCTACTCGGCTGGATTGCATCAATGATTCAACATCCTGGAATCAAGAATGAAACAGCAATTATTTTGAAAGGACTTCAGGGAACAGGTAAAAACAGATTTACAGACATTATTTCTGAACTTCTCGCTGGTTATTCATGCAAAAACATTACCGAAATAGGTGAGCTAACGGGTAATTTCAATTCAGTAGTTGAGAATAAAATGTTTCTTGTACTTAATGAACTCAAGAATGTAGGTGAAGATAGACTCGCAAACTTCAACGCTTTGAAATCAATTATTACGGATAATCAAATAAGAATTAATGAAAAGAATCAACCCAGAAGAACTGCTCAGAATGTTGCCAATTTCATTTTGGTAACTAATAACGTCTACCCTGTCAAAATTGAAGTTGGAGACAGAAGATACGTAGTTTTAAGAGTTAATGGTAAATTCAAGGGTCAATTTGATTATTTCAAGAATTTAATGGATTCATGCACTAAGGAATTTTATGATAATTTACTGACGTATTTTATGCAATATGACCTTTCATCGTTTAACGTACGAATCATTCCGATGACTGAAGCCAAACAAGATTTAATTGAATTATCAACAAATCCTTTAGATGTATGGATAAATACACATTATGATGAATTGTGTGCAGGTATGACGTGTAAAAATGCTCTATTCTGCAAACCATCAGACATGAAAGACAAAAACTTTCAAATGAGCATTAAGGATAAATATGAAAGGAAACAAAGAAAAATAGATGGTAAACAGACATGGTGTTATGTTTTGAAAGAAGAAATGAAAGGATTATATAAACAGGTTGAACCAAACGATAATGAGGATTCATTTACTGATGATGAAATACCTGTAAATGAAGCTTTATAAAGTATGATTGGAATTTATTTTTGCATTAATCCTGCTGTGTTGTCAAAATGTCATGTTGTCATCATTTTTAAGAGAAGTTAATTAACCTGGTGACATGGTGACGTGGTGACACTTTCAGTTATTCAAAAATAATTCATAAATGCCTTCCTCCTTTCGTACCTGTTGTCAAAATGTCATGTTGTCATCATTTTTAAGAGAAGTTAATTAACCTGGTGACATGGTGACGTAGTGACACTTTCAGTTATTCAAAAATAATTCATAAATGCCTTCCTCCTTTCGTACCTGTTGTCAAAATGTCATGTTGTCATCATTTTTAAGAGAAGTTAATTAACCTGGTGACATGGTGACGTAGTGACACTTTCAGTTATTCAAAAATAATTCATAAATGCCTTCCTCCTTTCGTACCTGTTGTCAAAATGTCATGTTGTCATCATTTTTAAGAGAAGTTAATTAACCTGGTGACATGGTGACGTAGTGACACTTTCAGTTATTCAAAAATAATTCATTATTGAATAACCTAAAACCATTAACGATAAAATAACTGATAACAAAATTTTATTTATTATATAAATGGATACCCCACAAGCTCAAAATTTACCACGAATCATAACAAGGGAGGAAATGATAAAAATGATGCAAGAACTAATTAAAAACAACAAACCACGAAAACCGAGAAGATGCGGTTATGCAGTAATGATGGAAAGAAGAACCAGGAAGGGTTCGGCGTCTCCTCGAAGAGATGTTGTCGAAGAGGAATAAAAATTAAATTTGGGATAGAGTTTAAAAATTCATCTTTATTAAATTCATCTCTTCCCAATCAATTTATTTATTCTATTAAATTCTTTTATTTTTGCTTCACTCAGTTTTAAGGATTGAACGGTAAGTTTCTAATTTTTCGATTATTTCTTTCCTCTCTTTATCTTTTCAGCCCCACCGCATTGCGGCTTCTTTTTGTAATAGCATATTTTTGATTTAATCTGTTTAGTTTCTTTTTATATTCATTGTCTGGACTCTTGGCTGCTTTGTTGTCACTCATTTCTTACGAAATAAAAAAAATTAAATATTATTTAAATATAATGGAGTAATAAAATAAATCGGAATTTCTATTAATTTATTGTCAACTTCAACTAATGCATTGCCGTTAATATATCTAACAAATTCAGCTATTGTGTCAAATCTTCGTCTTCTTTTTGTCATTGATTTATCAGTTTTTCCATAATCGAGATGAATCAAAACTTTATCCCCTTGTTTAAAATTCATGAGCCCCGAATTAATTTGTTCACGTTTAACATCATTCAACCTTTCCATTTGCTTTCTAATATATTCCCATTCTTTTGAAATATCATTTTTCATTTCCACCGGTTTCATGTTTATAGTTCTATGCCATGTATTATTGTAATAATATACTAACTGTTGTATGATGGAGTCATGATTTCCATCCCAGTATATCTGACCGTTAACCCCTAACGCATCTCTAAGAGTTCTCATTACCGCATCAACTATTTTATTATGAAACGTATATGGAGAGGATGAAAAGAAAAAATTAATTTGTGGGAAATAATGAGCCATAGCTGCCTGAAATCCTTTATCACCATCACCCCTGATATTATCTACTCTTTCATGATCTAGTAAGTATTGTATAGCCCTTCTTGTTTCCTGTTCTGTTTTCCCTTTCACTGGAATGCAATATAAATATCTAGTGTTAATGTTAATGGCAAATAAATAAGTAACGTTTCCTTTTGAATATTCCAGATGATCGATTTCGTATGAATATGGATATGGAGCAAATGAAGGCGACTAAATTTTTCCTTTAACGGTTGAATTTTTCGGGTCAATTGGTTTATTTAATATCTTGAAATCCTTTTAAAATCTTTTTGCTTCTTTAATGTTTGAAATGGATATAATAAAGTGAATGATGAAGGATTAACTGAAGGAGGAGGAGGTACTGTCGTTGGAGGTTTTGGTGTTGCAAGTGGTTTAATTTTATCTGCTTTGATTTTGGATTTCATTCCCCCCTTCATTAATTCTGGATGTATTCTATTCATTTGTTTTAAATATGCTGTATATAAAGGTTTGATATACTTTCCCGCTTCGAGTTTATGTTGAAGGATGAATTCCAAAAGTTGATCTTCATTTAAAAGTCGGGCTGAATATGGTTTAACTAATGAATCATAAATTAAAGCTTGTGCTTCATTTATGGTCTGAAGGACCTGGGTGTTTTGCACCTTTTGTTTTTGTTCCTTTGTTTTTTGCGGCTCATGATTATATAATTTATATAATTCATCAATATCTTCTTCTGTTAATACTTTATTTTTGAAATCTTTCAATTGTTTAAGTTGTGATTTAGTTTTTTCCTTTGTATATTCATTATTTTTAATTTTGTCTTTAATTTTAGAAATTATTTTATCATGATATTTCAAAATTTCATTTTTATAATACGGATAATAATAATCCACATCATCACCCGTTATATTTTTATTATATTTTTGGAGATATGATTTTAATTCATAATAAGTAAGAAAATTTTGATTAAGTACTAAATCATAAATTAAATTTTTTAAATCTGCGCTATTCATTTATATAAAAATAAAATAAGTGTTTTAAGGGTGCCCGCCTCTTTGAATCATAGTATCAAAACCATCATTAACGGTTCCTTTTGTCTCTTCTGTGGCATTTTATTAAAAATAAAATTTTAAATTGTATTAAATAAATGGCATACAACATCCATTTTCACAACATACAGCCTTAGTGTGTGCTCCTGTTAATGCAGTCTTACCGATTGTTAAGCGAGTCATTGACCCGTTTTTAAGTTGTAAATTAATATTCTGACCATCAAATATCACTTTATCATTTATTTTATATCCAAATAATTTTTAGGTGTTAATTGTTTATTTTGTCGTAAACTAACACCTTTCATTTTTTGTGCAATCTTTTTAAAATCACTTCCATCAATTGAACCGTTGAATGATGTATAACACTTAGGGCATAAAGCAACCATGTTATCACCTTGTTTCTCAATTGCTAAACCCAATAACTTCTTCTCATGTGCTTTTTCTTCAGCTTTATTCTTTAATTTAGGTTTAAATTTCTCATCAAAACAGAAGAAATCAAATGGTGCGAATTTGAAAATGTTTTTATCATAAAATTGTTTATCGGTAACAATTGCTTGAAATGCTTGAGTGTTAGGAAGATTTGGGTCGCCAGCGATTGCCCAATAAGATGAATCAGTATCACCTTCAATGAAATGAAAACGATTAACATTCATGCATTTATACATAAAATCATAAATGAAAACCAAATACCAGTATTTAGCATTATCTAAAGTGAAGAATGCCTCTTGTAAACATGTATCACATCTATAAAATCTATCTTTAAGCATCACTTGATATGTATCTTCACCTATTTCTCTTATGTTTTTAAACTTATATGACATACATGCAACGCGTGCCTTCTGTGC